GCATCGACCACTTGATCAACAAAATTACCATCGGGGAGAGTGTATCCATCACCAGGAAAGACACAAGATATCCAAAATGGGATATCCCCGTGGAGAAGTGAGGGCGTATTTAAATCACCTGGTGGTGCACGCGTGAAGAGCTTCCTGATGGCTTTGATTTCATCCAGTCTGGGGACAGTTTCGAATGCGATGAATCGAATACGAGATCCAAGGCGATCGATCTGATCGAATAATTGAAAGCGATCCTTATGCCAATTGAGAAGCTTTTCTAGCGAGTCGTGTTCCTCATCATATTTACCACTATACTCTTGACTTGGAATCATCGTTGCTCCATACGGCCCGAGACTTAGAGCAATGTGAGCATCAGGGACCTTGACTTCCTCGGCAATAGAAACAGCAAGATTTAAGAAAGGTATAATTTCATCACGGGAAATACCTAGTGGATGATCGGGAGTTTTGGTTCGTGCGAAGGCCTCCGCAGATACTTGATATGTTGCTGTGAGCAATATATCGACGGGGACACTACCAAAATCTCCCTGGCATGAACGGAGGGTCTCGGGATCATCAATGAGAAGATGAGACGACCATAATGGGGTATTTTCATTAAATTTGACGCCGTACTTGTCCTCGAGAGATGTTCCTAGCCCTCCATCGAGGAACAACACAGGTGCAAGCTTGTCCTGTGCCATATCGTTATTTTCCGTGCGCAACTCTTCCCATAGATATAGATAGATATCATATATAGCATTCAAGGAGGGTAAGCTGAGAAGAGAAGTTCGTCCACTATTGGCGGTGTCAGCAAGGACTAGATATGTAGCGAATAGGCTAATTCATGACGAAGTATCAGCTTGAAATAGTAAGGCTAGCGATGTTCGCAAATTAGACGCGTAAGACGCGCATGGTGTAGGTATCACGTGTAGGTTATATTGTCCACACGAAATAAGTTGATGTTTAAAGGTTAGGTAGACTTTGACACTTCGACGATCCAACGATTTGATAAGAGATCGGAAGGTCGGCATCGTGGGGGAACCTGCAGCCCTGGAAGCGGACACTCATATCGGCAGGGAACACCTTGCAACGCCACATGGATGCACCTGAATCCATTGAGTTTTCGGAAAGGACCAACGAAATTCCCGGCACTAGACATGCATCTTAGGCGGATCATTACCAATGGATTGGTCTGATTTGCCCGAGGCCTCCGCTAAGCTTTAGTTATCCGTTAGGTTCGTTTGCTTATGACCTATGTACATCCTGACATGTATGTTGCAATCTTCACAGCCACAATAACCCGAGTACAACTCTGATATATGGGTACATGTGAGATGCTGATGAGCAGAACCCAACCGGCAAAGCGGCATTGATACATGCGATTCCTAGAAAGAACAAAAATTAAAAAACACATTTGACGCGCCGTCGCGCAAATGGATTCAATTTTCCAATTCCATCTCCTCTTCTCTTCAATTGTAGTCATCAATCGTTAAGCCCTACTCTATTAATCTCGCGCGTTTTGTCATCTGGCAAGGTGAGGCGACCCAGAAACAAGCCAGAAATTAAGCTTTCCTTTTACTTTTTTTTATTTATCGGTTCCTGTCCCTTTGTCATTCGAGTCCCACTACCAAGCAATTCTCCAAACTACAGCCGCCGCCTTGGCATCCATCATCGCACTTCCTTTTTGGAATTTCGAACCACAACAAGGATCTCGCAACTTAACGAACAGGACGGTTTCGTCCGCCTTCGCTCCTGTCTTCGGAGCTGGCAGATAAACCAATCAACAGAAAGTACCGCTCTTGACATCATTCGGTATTAAGTGCTTAGCGTTTAGCGATTAGCGATTCTGCCACCCGATATGTCTGCTCGCGTCGGAGAGGAGGCCGATTCGACGCCTCGTAGCCAAGACCCGGTGTCGCAAGAGGGCGCTAACGGGGTCAATGATGAGAAAAATGTTCGACAGGTCTCCGACGACCATCCAACCCCTGAAGACGGAGCTCACCCGCGTCCCGACGCCGATAATGAGAAGCCAGACGGTCCTGTTCCTCGTAGCAGCACATTTAAGCACAAATTTAAGGAGCAAAAAGAGAAGATCAAGACTAAAACTAAACCTCCCGGTGGCTTTGATCCCACTCCAATCCCCGATGCTCCCCCGGGTTATACCGTGAAGTTCACATTTCACCGCGCCGAGAATCTGCCTGCCGCCGACCTTAGTACAAGGTCGTCAGATCCCTTTCTGACTGCTACTCTAACAACTTCACTACCCAAGAGACATAAGGAAGACCCAGATCTCGTCTATCGGACGCGCACGGTTAGGAAGACTCTTGAACCTCAATGGGAACAGGAATGGATTGTAGCCAATGTCCCATCATCTGGATTCAAGTTGAAGTGCCGTTTATACGACGAGGACTGGCCGGACCACAACGATAGACTAGGCAATGTAACCATTCTAGTCAACCGCGTTAGTGAGGATTGGGAGGGCTTTGGACCCGAAGCCAAAGAATTCGAGGTCAAGAAGCGCAGTGGTAGCAAGCGTGCCTACATCCTTAAGGCCTGCATGAGCGCATTCGCTAAGGATGTCTCATTAACTCCGAGGCTATATGTAAGTGCTGTTGTTCTGGGCAAGTCGGATCCGCCTTACGGCCAGATGTACACCGTCGGTCCAACCTATTACTTCCAGCACTTCTCGCCCATGATAGGCCGGATGATGGGCATAAAAGTGAATAAAGACGAGACTAACGACTCACATGACCATGATGCGAATGTGGCGACACCTGCGTCTCGGGATAATAGCAAGCAGGTGGAAAGGAGGACTCAGAAGTACGATTTTCAGGCCAACGAAATCCAGCTTGCCGGTCCGGTCCCTGAAAAACTATACCACAGATATGTCGAGTTCCGGCCTATCATCGGTCTCCTGTTCAGGAGTCGGGGCCTACGCGGTAAGATTTTGAACAAGGCTCTTCACCACCAGCACCACCGCATATACAATTTCGATAGTGGTACGCTTTTTGGTACCTTCGAGCCGTGCTCAGAGGAGGCCAGTCGTCAATTCCTGAAGATGGCACATTTCGACGAAGGTGGGCGGATATTCACGTATGTCATTACTCTGGATGGAATCATGAGGTTCACAGAAACCGGAAAAGAATTCGGTATCGACCTTCTCAGTAAACATACCATGCATAGTGACGCCGCCATATATATCGCTTGCTCCGGAGAGTTCTTTATCCGTAGGCTGAAAAAACCTAGGGTAGCCGAGGATCCTGAACCTGGCGAGCCTACTCATCCCGAAGAGTTCATACAGGGCGGACCACCCAAGGAGCCTCCGCCGACTAAGCCCGAGTATTACCAGTTGATCATCGACAACGATAGCGGTACTTATCGACCTGATAAGTCGGTGCTACCAGATCTGAAGAAGCTGCTAGAACGTAATTTTCCCGGCTTGGGCATCGTGACGTTAGCGTGCGATGATCCGGAAGACCAGAAATTAAAGGCGGCCCAGGTCAAGGTGAAGAAGAGGGAAGGCCGCGCGGTTAACATGGTGCTGAACCGTAGCCCTAGCGCGAGCTCGTTCAGCTCCGACGACATCAGCGACCTCGAGGATATGGAACGATCCGGAGAAATAGGACGTAGGAGTAAAAAGGAGAGAGCGTTGGACCTACTTGAGGAACCGAGACGAATCAAGGAGTTGGCACGTAAAAAGCACGCAGATGCAGTATCAAGTGGACCGAGCGGCAGTGGTGCGGCCACTTAATGAGTCGATCTTTTTTTTTTTTTTTTTTTTTTTGATATCCCACTTTTCCTTGCATTTGTTTCTTTTCGATTTTCCAATGTGGGAATCGGCAACCGGTCGCTTGGCTTTTCGAATATAATGGGGGCTGATCTGGCTCCAGTCAGTAAAAAATTCTGACTGGTCAACTTTTTCATGACGATCTTCTACATGAATTTTGATTCCCCGGTTGTTTTCTCTCATCGGATGGAACGCGTCTCACAACGTGGGCGTATTAATACCTATGATGCTTTGTAATACCTGTTCATACTCATGTTCATACTCATACTCATTCTCAAGTTGAATTAGGCGAATAATGAACCAATGAAAATTCCCTCTGTTTACCTACATACCTATCAGTCTATTTCTAGTATTCCTTATTCCTGTTCCGTACTACCTATCGGAATCTAGACTCTATGGGCCTTCATACGTCACTAACGAATTTCAGCTCCCCACTTGGTAAGGGGATAACAGACGTCTGGGCTTTAGCGACATTCGAGACCACAACTTTAAACTAGCCTCCTCGCCCTAATTACGTGCACCTAGACGGTAGTGCCTACATCGTGGGCTTATGGTGGATATACTACTTGGTGTAGTCGAATGTAGCAATGTGCCGCGTCGTTCACCACGTGCCGGAGATTAATTATGTGGTTCTAGATGGTGTAGCCGAATCGTCAGCAATGAAACGCCCTTATAAGACGGATCTTCCATGTTACGCGTCGATATTAGGTCAAATGACGGTTTTTTTCTAATAGCTGGTTGCCCGAAGTTCCACATGGCGATTACCTATAGTGTTCTTAATCTTCAACTAGTATTTTAGTTCAACTCGCTACGAAGATGTCAGACGAGCCTATTAGTCTTGTTCCGTTCTGTCATAGCAGCTAGTTAGTCTCGAGCTAAATGAAAATCTCCGTCATGTCACAGTTTTGTGATTTAATCCTAGAGACGAAAGGAGTCACGCCTAGGATATTAATAGGTATGGCAAGCGACTCTCGCCACCCTTAGAATTTTTCGAAAGCTGATTAAAAGTGCCTATATTTGAATACTACCTGGGTACCTACCTAGGTAAGGATCTAATTATCAATTCACTTATATCTATGTCATATGACACTTCAATTCCGAGCCTTTGGATTTGGCCGAACTATTCAGTGTCCTCCAGTCATGTTTTCTGAGTTGTTATGTTTGATAATTAAGATGACTAGGAAAATATTCATGACGTGTATCGCACTAATGTTAATATCACGGCGGTCGGAATGGGTATCTGGTTTGAATACAGTACACGTCTTGGGAACTACGCAAGTAAGCATTCGCATTTAATGGCTCCAAATATCTTTTTAGACCAGAGAATTCTCTAAGGTTCAGTTAATATACTACCCTTGGCCAATTTCGTATTTACATTTATTTCAACATTTATCCCTAAGCTATGGACGGGAAATTCTCACATGCCCGTGAAGCCATTGCCTTCGCCCGCAAAAATTCGACATACTACAAGCGGCTATACCAATCAGTACAGCAGGATGAGCCAGATCTAGAGGACTTACCAATAATCTACCCAGATGAGTATTGGAACTCGGCAAGAACTGACCTTTCCAGTGTCATGACTGGACCATTCACCACCGGGAATATTTATTGTATAAGCGGACCTAGCAACAAGCTTGAGACCCTGCAACTATCAAGAGAAGAGGAATTCAAGCTCTCCAGGACTAAGTCTATTTTATGGCGAGGAATTCTTGATCCTGAGAGAGGAGAGCGTATTGTGAATATTATGAGCCCCCATGACCTTCGTCTCGGCTTTTGGGATACGGTAAACACGTCTAATGGGATGGTTGCCCCAGAGTCAGGAGTCCAACTGTTCATATCTAACGAAAAGACAATGGACAGGATTATAGAGGAAGTCGAAAGATTCCAACCCAGCGTGGTATTTGGATCGCTACCCGACATCATTCGGCTTAGCGAACACCTTGGCGAAAGGCATAGCACATTGCCATCGGTACGAGTCGTACTATACCTTGGAGGGGCCATACCCAGGGGTATTACCCAGTCGTTACATGATGGATTCCCGAATGCTAGATTGTATCCGCCGCTGTACGCCAAACCTCAGCTAGGCCCCCTGGGCTTCCCGGGTGCCATCCCAACCGGAATTTACCGGGATGTCGACCCAATATATAGGGTATGCGATTATGTTGCGGTCTTAGAAATAGTGACGGATGATGGTATCGTCGTTAAGGAAGCGGGTGTCAAAGGAAACATTGTCGTCACGCATCTGATACGCCGCTTGCAACCCCTAATACGATATCCCATCGGCGACGTCGCGGAATGGGTAGACTACGGCTCTCGAATTTTCAAGTACTGCGGCAAGGCATCGACCAAAATCAAGGTCGCTAACACTATCTTGGACTGGTCTACCTTGAAGGATATCACTAGCGACGTCATGAAGACCGATGTTAGTGGGCGATTCCAATGTATTCTGCGCCTTCAAGATAGCTGTCCAAAGCTTGTTCTCCGGCTGGCATATCCGAAGCCATCAGAAGCGGGAGAACTGCGCCATAATATCGAAAAGGTACTATGGAACACATCTTCGACATGGAAAAGCGATCGCCAGGCAGGTGCTATTTTATGCCTTCGCTTGGAGTGGGTCGATGATATACTACTTTGTGTTGGGGAAACTGGAGAAGTACTCGATGTAGTGGACGAGCGTTAGGAAATATCCGAGAAGTAAATCCAAGCAGCCGAACCACCAGATACAAGTGGTAAACTAGGGCATATCCGCAACTAGTCTAGAGAGTACAATATTATAGGAATAATTTCAGACATGATGCTTGCTATGTATAAATATCACTTAGTCGGGAATTCCACCCCTATAAAATCAAAGTCATTTACTTCAACACATATCTTCTTACAGATATATCCTGTTACGGTTTATACATGATCTTTAACAGCCGTAGTAGGAGTCACTGAAGAGTGAGGGTATTACGTAAGTAATGTAGTAGTATATTGTGTGACTATTAGGAGAGTAAGTTCTAGCTATCTATCTAAATGAGTGTATAAATAGGGTAGCATAGCTAGCCCTGTATTCATCCCTAACGGATCCTTTTACGAATATAACCACCACATCAAGCCTTATAGATACTTCTACGTATTTTCTCTTTGTTCTTTTCTATATCAAGTAGTCAAAGAGCAAAAGTCTCAAAGTGGACTAACTCACCTCGCCATTTAGGGACCACGGAGATTGACCTCTTCGAGTTCAAAATCATCTGGGTGTGTAAGTGGCGGCGACCTTGGGGATCTTTCTCTTTCTCCGTTGGCTATGTTGGTATATGCGGGCTTTCTTCGCAGCTCTGGGGTACCCATCGCACTATCAGTAGTCTGCTGCCTCTGCGTAGTCGGGCGACCATTAGGCTCCTGCACGGGTTGATGGGCTGGCTCAGATACGGTAGGTTGAAGGGGTACTTGCGAGCCAGAATAGGGGCTGCTGGAAAAGTCAAATCCTGAGAAATCATTGGCGTAGGACGGCGGTGGTTGTTGCGAAGCCTGCTCGCGGGCTTGCGTCCGAGCTTCGAGGTCTTGCGTGGGTAGTTTAGTTGTTTTGCGGCGAATATAGTATTCGCAAGAGATCACTGTCGCCCCAATACAAAGAATGATACCAAGAACAGTTCCAGCAGCAATCAATGCCCCGTTCAGTATATCTGTAGTATGGTCCTCGTTATTAACAGACATCTTGGTTGACGGTTTGTGGTTTTGTCTTGATAAGTATAACTTTTGAAGTAAGTTTCAAAGTGTGATATCGTATGTTATTCGTTGCGAATGATGGAATAGAATGACGGGGAACAGATGATTGCCAGGACCTTGGCCTACATGATATACTCAAACCATACGAAAGACAAGTTTCGTATCAACTCAAATATTTGCAAACCTTACCGTCGTTCAAAATCAATTTCAACGTTTGGAAATATGACAGAATGTATAAGATATTGATATAAAACTATTGTATAAAGTTTACATGAAGTCGCTGGTTGTTAATGAACAGAAGCTTTGTTCGGGTTTGAACGTAGTGTTTTTTATATATTAAGTACCTACCTGCTAAATACTGTTAACTTACTAGTAAAATCTTCCCAATTGCCTCCTTGGTCGTCCCCTATGTGATCGTATTGCATTGTTTAATGGTATCTCCTTGTGCTTCCGAGGTACGACAGGGTCTGAGATAGTTACCCACTGTAGAGCTGTAAGGAGTATGTAGCACCAATCAATGCTCAGCTAAGACTTAGTAATTACCTATCATGGAAAGCTGCAAGCAACCCTGGCCAATCAGGTCTGAAGATACGCTTTTGTGAGACCTTGTCAGTGCCATCGAGTTATCTTCTTACCTTACATACATACATGCAGCTCATATTCTTGTCTTTTACGTATGGTTAGGCAACGTTTACTTCGGATACTACTTGGGTTGTAGTTTAGGCCCGTACCTTATCTACCTTCGTGCAGTTAATCCCGATTGTAAAACCTGGTAAGACAAACCACACCACATTACCTACCATCTCCTTGCATAGATTCATATTATCATGCGTGATGCCAAAGAAATCTCTGTGGATTAGTAGCTATATTTTCTTCCTTACCGTCTTAACAGCTATTAGCAGTAGAGAGGCCATACATAATATGGAATTAAGACATCTGAAGGAGTCCTACACATGTAGGGTGAACATGGAAACTCTGGGCTTCAATGCATTATCATGTGGAACCCGGCCGGCCTTTACGAGATGCACGATAAGAAGCGTCCCTCCCCGACTTTGCTCAATAGGAAACGTAATAGCTCGATAAACAGAGGAAATGTGAGATCACAATACGTAGCATCATTGTAAATTAGTCCAACCGTTGTGGGACTGCTAACTTCCTCAAGTCTACGTGAATAGCATCGTTGCATCAACCATATCTATAGCGACTAATACAAGATACAAAAAGACTATACCGAACATTCGATGATGGCATTGATGGGGAAATTTCGGCTTGAATTGCAACTAGTAAAAAAATATTTACCTTCCAGATACACATATCGAGCTATATGGGGTACACTAACATGGGGCTGGGAGTTGGACCTTATTCGGGAAGGTAGCGGATCGTCGGCTTGTGACCTGTTTGGATCGTTTAGAGATCTAGGCGCGCACTTGGGGTTACGCTGCTGACTCGTGGAACGCTATTCTATTTTCCGATCGATGGAAAAACAGGGGAGAGATGGGTATCTCGAGAGCCTCGCGCCCTGTAATTTTAGGAATAATGATGCACGTCAGACGGGTCCGTCCGACGGTGATATTCTCCCTCCTAACGGATATGAATTGGCCGGAATTAGTACCGAGCTCTATGATGGTAGTTAACGCATTGCGGCGGCATTTCGTACGGCGCTAAGTATCTGGAAGAATGTAATCGAGCTAACAGGTATTTACTTGGATGCCGTTAGGGCCCTTATTTACGATAGTTATGATGACATCTCCTAAAGTTATTGCGGTTGTGTTGTAGGTGACGCTGGGTTGAATCTGGACCTGGCGGCACACGTTGCCGGATACCGTTCGGACTGGAGACGGGTTTATGAATTTACTTGAAGAGGGCGTGATCTTCACTCGAATCTTTACAAGGGGGAGGCTGGAGGGGAAGAAGCCCTGTTGGAGATTTTCAGGGCTGGCCGTCCAAAGCCGTGTATTGTCACATGCGCTATCAACTTACCGCGCGACAGCTATCTTTGGTACATGAATAATGCATGCATCTGCAAGTTGTTTGCGAGTTGGGTGTTAGACGCCTCAACGTCTTATACAGCACCGTCGTAATGCGGGGCAAGCGCGGTACTTCTGAGTGATCACCGAGGGGACTCCTCCGTAGTTCTCGGCTTAGTCCGTCCCGGCATTCGATGAGTAATTAGTCCCTGGTTCGGACGGGATCTTAGATAAGCTTAATATAGTTATAAGGTCAGTCAAGTTATGTATAAAGTTACCTAATGTATAATATATTAGAGATCGATCACGTTATATATACCCGTGACTTGCTCATTGATAGAGGCTATATATATCAACTTACGCGTTGCTGATCGCTCATAATGAATACGAATAACGTTATACTCTCTGAGGCATAGTATATATATTTAGTATATATATTTCTACGTGTGTGAAAACCTGCGAACCGCTGCTATCAATGCCGACCGCTCGGTAATTGCGGCAGCGAGAGCTGATCACATCATGTCGTATTACCTGTAATATAATATAAAAGCCTGCTGGACTTGCCGTGGAATTCCACTCAAGATACTGTGCGCAATCTGGAACGAGAAACAAGCTCAGTCTTGGCTTCTTGGCCCTTTATATATTCTGGGTGTTGATAAGGACAGCATAGGGGGGCATAAGGGGGGCCAATTACCGAATTAGGAAGGCCGTCCATTGGGCACCACGCGACGCGAGCTCAAGACTACTTCTCGCGAGAAAAGCAATGGCTTGGCGCAGAGGTCTGATACAACATCATGATACTGCCTGCTAGATTTCCTTTCCCCACGCTATTGGGTTCGACTCTTAGCCTGTGTTGCAACCGGCCGCCCGAATCCACCACGTCCTAGGGCTATGTACTTGATCTCATCCTTGCTCCGATCCCCGGTTCGGATCTAGGCTCTAAGTCATGGCCTACGACCTTAAATCCTGGAGAGCTTAGAGACCCCAGGTACCCCCAAGAGCTTTACACCCGCCGCCAATCCCTCCTAGCAAATGCGGGAAGGTATCAATACCTCTTCATCCCTAGGAAACAAGCTCTACTAACTACCGCGCTTCCCCAACCCATAATAGTCTTAGGATCTCATTCTGCATGTCATGTTAGCGCTGCAGAGCAGTCCAGGAGCAGGGGTCCTTGATAAGGTACAGACAGCTTCGCCTAAGTCATCAGGGTCCCCTCACTACCGCTGGCCAATACGTCCTGGGGGGCCGCTTATTACAAACTACATCGTCATCTAGCCCGTCCGACTATATCGCCGAATAAGACCCTAATGCCGTATAGGAGATCTGCGAGTTTCCTACCAAGGAAGGTCATGATCGACGGGCACGAGATATATCGACGCTCAGATGAAGTCCTCATCATGATAAATAGTCGCGATGCTCTCGACTTGAGGAGAGATTCTGTCCCTCATCACTCGCAGACAACTCAGCTTCAGATCCTTCCCACTTAGCACTTCCACCTTGACTTGCCCCAAGATGCGTACCGCCGTCTTCTTTGCTCTCCTGCCTCTGGCATTCGCTGCCCCAGCTAAGCGATCCGCGCCAGCTCCCCTCATCAAGCCTCGAGGAACTCAGCTCATCGAGGGCAAGTACATCGTCAAGCTCTACGACAATGCCGCTATCACGGCTCTTGACGATACCATGAGCACCTTCCAGGGTGATGCCGACCACGTCTACAACGTTGAGGGCTTCAAGGGCTTCGCCTCGTCCCTGACGGCTGAGCACCTCGAACAGCTTCAAAACCACCCCGACGTAAGTCACATAGTAGACTCGCCCATCAAGGCCCGTTCGGGATCTAACCAGTTCACAGGTTGAGTTCATCGAGCAGGATGCTGTCATGAGCATCAACGCCTATGTCACCCAGACCAACGCCCCCTGGGGTATTGCTCGTCTATCCCACAAGACTGGCAGCAGCAGCAGCTATGTCTACGACTCCAGCGCTGGTGCTGACACTTGTGCCTACGTCATCGACACCGGCATCTACACTACGCACTCGGTATGCTAGACTCGCGGAACTCCTACCGATATTTACTAACAACACTTCTAGGAGTTCGAGGGTCGCGCTACCTTCCTAGCCAACTACGCCGACAGCTCTAACTCTGACGGCAACGGCCACGGCACCCACGTTGCCGGCACTATTGTAATACACCACCTATCCCTGAGCCAATCCCTTTCGGCATGCTAACCATTTTCGTCATAACAGGGCAGCAAGACCTACGGTGTTGCGAAGAAGACTAAGCTGTACGCTGTCAAGGTTCTCGACTCTAGCGGTTCTGGCTCTACCTCTGGTGTCATTGCTGGCATGAACTACGTTACCTCCGACGTCAAGACCCGATCCTGCCCGGCCGGTGCCGTCGCCAACATGTCTCTTGGCGGTGGTGCTTCGTCCTCGATCAACAGCGCCGCCAAGGCTATGATCAACGCTGGTGTCTTCTTGGCTGTCGCCGCCGGTAACGACAACCAGAACGCTGCCAACTCCTCGCCCGCCTCTGAGCCCAGCGTCTGCACTGTTGGTGCTACTACCTCGTCTGATGCTCGTGCCAGCTACTCCAACTACGGATCCGTGGTTGACATCTTCGCCCCTGGTATTTATCCCAACCCTAGGTATGAGCTGAATATTGACTGTACTAACAAATGAAAAAGGCAGCTCTATCCTCTCCACCTGGAACAACGGAAATACTGTAAGTTTATTTACTAGTCTATTCACTACATCCGACCGCCGAACTAATTTCTATGCTAGAACACCATCTCCGGAACCTCCATGGCCACTCCCCACATTACTGGTCTCGGTGCCTACCTCCTAGCCCTTGAGGGCAAGAAGACCCCCCAGGAGCTCTGCAGCTACATCGCTTCCACTGCCAGCAGCGGCATCCTATCCAGCATTCCGTCCGGTACTGTCAACAAGTTAGCCTATAACGGTGCCCCTTCATAAAGGATGCACAAGGAGTTTAATGGCTATTCTGTAATGGGATTACGGTGGTAATGCTTGCGTGGGACTGTAGTGGTGATAGCGTCATATCGTTGACCCCCGATATTTTACCGCTTGCTGTTTTCTAGATACCGAGGATGGTATGTAGCTTTCAGAGCTTCGAACCGAACCGATGCTACATAATAGTTCGAAGTCGGGGACCGGTGGATTTGTTGGGGACATGGTTCGTCTCCACGGCTATTCGTATAGCCTAGGAAGGGTAGAAATATACGCTGCCATTAGTTACCTTTTTCGAAGTATGATTTGCATCTGCCATATGAATTAGCCGCGAAAGAATAATTGACTAATACATTGAGAATCTCATCTCATCGCCCGTGTCTTCAACCCCTGAAATATTTATGAGATTCCCCGCACGCCAACTATACACGCCCAAATGAGTGGATGTTTTGAACAGGGCAGCAATGTTGCGATTGACGCTCTCCAATATAAGTGGGAATTACTCATGCGCCGTTAGAGCCGGCATTCAGCATATGTCGGAGAACCGCAACTTGTTCGGGATTTCTAGCTCTAGGATCAGCGATCACAGGAGATAGTTATGTTTCGTACAAATTAATAAGCAAGGTAAATCTCCCACCGGGATATAACAATTCGACCACCCGTAGCCATTAAGATACGTATAATTATTATACTCCAGGATGACGAGTTCTCGTGAGCACGACACCCCTACATAGGGACAACTACTATACGCGCACTAGAAGGCCTCGCATATTTTACACGTAACTTGCGCACCCTTCGATACTAATTCTTGGCATACAAAGGCATTTACGGATGGAGTGATTAGGGTATATTAAAGTGCTCATATATAAGCAACAGTACTGGATCATTTATTTATTCCCCTAGCGAGCTGAATACTTCGGGGCTAACTGGTTGTACGGTTTGAACTGAACCACCTGCTAAGAAATATATCGTCAAGGGAATCCAAAGTGATCCTGTGACTCCTAAATGAATACTTCTCGAGGTATACTAACTCGACTAAGATGGGAAACATACATCACTGCCGAGTGAAGCAGTTTGTGTGGGTACGTATTGCTCAAATGAGTACCTTAGGTAGGTGTAGTCAAGGGAAATACTATCGGATACGGTACGGGGTATCTATTTAGATGGAACATGTATATAAGTCAGGCTTCTCCCTTCTTCCCTTCTTTCATAAAGAACCCCAGTTACCTGTTAATTAAGCCATTCATACTGCTTATATGCTATATTTCTTTTCAGCATGTGTTATGAATATAACTAGCAGTGTGTTACGAGGTGAGATTAAGAAGCATGGAAGTAACTTCGTTGTTACTCGAGGGACTCTAACCTGGGTAACTACTAGAGCTAGTAACTATACGTATTGGTTAAGTATCATTTACTTTAGATGATATATAGTTAAGGCGCTTTGGGATTACTTTGGCTTGTTTTACGGGTTCGACAGCCGTATGACCTATGCTATCGAAGGGGGAATGGCCTTAAAGATGTTATTGTCGAGAGTTGAACCACAAATTTATAAACGACTTAAATCCCTCCAAATACTTACAAGATAATAAAGGCTTATCAAATCGTTCCCAGAATCATAATTCAAAAAAATTAGCCAATAGTCTTTATGGACTTTGTTAATGTCGCTGTGACCAAACCTGAATTTGAATATTTAAAAGAGATACAACTATACCATGAGCCATGTCCTCGTCTTTAGTGAGGATTCTATATAACTTGTTTAGGTTATAAATGTATTGATATTTGTCATGCCGAATATAGATACTTACCATTGAAATTCTAAAGTAAATATCATGAGTTTGCAAGTTACAGCTTCATTCTCTTTCCTACATGTACACAGGTATCTTTTACAACTGTGGAGACATTAGAAAGTACTCCGTAGTGTACCTTACCCCGGTGCCTGCTCGTGCGACAGTGGCTCCATGATAGGCGATTCCGTATCGGGCTAGCGTCAACCATTCATTCGGAGAGATCCACTAGCGTGTACACTACCTTGTGGACCCTGGCCGAGGATATCAAATGGCCCTAGAACGATGGCCCTTGAAACCATTAAAACTCCTGACTCCAAAACCACTAAATGCTAACTAACGTCCGACGTTGATCGAACGATCCGACGTATCTTCTATTGCTTCTTTCATTCACTACATTTCAATACTATTTTTTACTTTACTGTCGAATAAGCTTCATTATTAAACCTTTTTAGTTTGAATTTCCTTGTTGGACGGACCCTACACCACGATCTGCGATACGAGTTTTTAGCCACGCCCTCACCTCAACGCTCGTCTCCCCACATCCGAAAATGGCGCGGCATCTTTCCGTCGTCGTCATCCTAGCGGTTGCGACTTTCTTGGTATTGTCTTTCATGACGTCTTTCGGTGAGAAAACCGAACAAATACGACAGGTGCTACCTGCGGCGGGTTTGGCCGAACGGCCGTTAGGTGCTTCAGATGCGATCACAGCAGATACGAAAGCAGGTTCAAAAATAGATACGACGCCAGATATGACAGCAGACGTAAAGCCAGATGCGAAAGCAAACGTAATCCCAGACCCGAAATCCGATTTCCCTTTGCTGTCGAGCGGAATCCTCTCAGGAGGCGCAATTGCCCCGAAGCTTGAGAACGCCACCATCAAGTGCGTATACTTCCCAATTCTGCGATGGACAATACATACGACATCTATGATACTCTATAGCTCGGGATGTGTGTCACGGATTTTGCTGACTTATCTTGATTTTATGTAGAGCTGAACTCGGCCGTTCGACCTGGAAATTCTTCCATACCATGATGGCGCGATTCCCCGACAAGCCTACCGAAGACGACTCCCTCGCCCTTAAAACGTTCATTCAGCTATTCGCACGCTTATACCCCTGCGGTGACTGCGCGCGACATTTCCAAGAACTACTCGCCAAGTATCCACCTCAAGTTAGCTCGCGTAGCGCAGCCGCGGGATGGGCGTGCTTCGTACATAACCAGGTTAATGAGAGGCTAAAGAAGCCCATCTTCGACTGTACTCCTGCGAAGCTCGGGGATTTCTACGACTGCGGTTGCGGGGGTGACAAAAAGGAGGCTGCAGACAGCATAGGGGAACTGAAGCTAGAGAAGGAAGGGTGAGTATCTTCCCCCGTGAATACCGCACCTAATATCGCTTATACGCTAATGTTCTGGATAGATTGACCAAGGGTGGCTAATTGTACAATTATATCTTGTTTCTGGGAGCATAGCGATCGGGAGTTCTTGGTGGTTGATTTTGATCTTAGAATGGAAAATATGAAGCACTTTTGTGTTGGCTCTCCCCTGGCATCGAGAACACACCGAAAAGAGTAGATAGATCTTATCTTTTTAGTTGCAGTTTATGTGATTTTATAATGTCTAGAATACATGTAGTAATTTGTTTTCTTTCGTATCATGCTTTGGATTTTTGCTGCATCATAGGTCAGCCTACAAATTCCAACGCGCAAACCTCAAATCTCAAAATGCCCAATTCGATCTCGATAAACGTACACACGTGCATATGCAGGTACACAAGCTAAGTATCTTATCGATTCTAGATTCAGATATGAGGTATCTTATCAGTATAATCATGCTAGAGATCACGTGATACTTACGGTCATGTCCAAGGCTAACGATAGATAGGTAGATAGCTGATAGCTCCCGATCTCCGACCCCAGCCTTGCGCGTCGGAGCTGCCTTGAGCTTGGTCAAACAATCATTGAAGCTGTTCCTGCCGCCAACCCGCCAACCCACCAACCAACCCACCAAGCTTCTTCCACCACATTTTCTATCGACAACGACAAAACCTTGTTCTTACAACCATTATTCCGCCCTTTGCTTGTTGAAATCGCGCATCTTTCTTTATCTCGTCTCCAGTCTACAATATGGAGTTTGGCAACAGGGGTGTCTTGAACGAGGGTACGTTGAGATCATTAGCTTTCGAGGCTCGGGTCTGGAGAGGTTCAACCTAAGCGTGTAGGACTAGACTGACAATTTGTTAAAATAGATGGAATCCATGTGGACATGGAGAGGCTAAAGAAGGGCGAGGTCAAGTGAGTACCATAAAATAATCCAGCACAATATCCAATCAGCCAACTAACTGATTATCAGCCTCGGAACATCGATGTAAGCTTAACTTTACCGAACTATGGCCAGAGAACGATCGTGGATTAACTGGGTTGCTAGCATGGCTGTGACATTCAAGGATGGCGTCATTCTCGGTGCGTGCAATAACCTTATTCCCTATAATCCCAATCCCTCACGAAACCTTTATAAAAACATGCTAACATCGTCGCCTGCTTTCAGGTGCTGACTCGAGAACCACCACCGGAGCATACATCGCGAACCGAGTTACGGACAAATTGACCCAAGTCCATGACACTATCTGGTGCTGCCGATCTGGTTCGGCCGCCGACACACAAGCTGTGGCTGACATAGTTCAATACCAGCTTGGTCTGTTCGCGATGCGAAACGGCAAACCGCCTACTACCCAGACGGCCGCGGCCATCTTCCAAGAGATCTGCTATTCGAACAAGGACCGGCTAAGGTATGTTCATGAATATACTGCTGAAGACTCATCCGCGAGGTTGATGCTGGTACTGACGTGATTGCGTTTTACAGTGCGGGTCTCATTATCGCGGGTTGGGATGAGCGACACGGCGGTCAGGTCTACTCCATTCCTCTCGGAGGTTCTCTACACAAGCAATCATATGCGATCGGCGGCTCCGGTTCGACTTACATCTACGGTTACTGTGATGCGCACTGGAAGGAGGGAATGGAAGAGCAGGACGCTGTCAACTTCGTCAAGGGTGCGCTGGGCGAGGCGATTAAGTGGGATGGCAGCTCAGGAGGAGTTATTCGCATGGTTGTCTTAACGAAGAAAGGGGCAGATCGACACCTGTACTTGCCTGACGAGAACTACGAGGTGCGGCATCAATAGATCCTCATTAGACATGGCAACATAGGCAAGACCCAATCGCGCTTTGAGGGTTGAGCATGCTTCTCCATATCTGTACAATATCACCCGAATTCACGTGTCGCAGCCGCTGCAAGCTGCGCGGCGATGATTTGATATGAGGTCAATAGAAGCTTTGCAATGGGGTGTATTAGATTTCCAACCTCTTGGGTAAGCAGATAGCCAATCTGTGGCAACACCCCCGTGAATGGATTCTCTAATGCTGCAGGGTTGGGTGAATTTCGAGCTCCAATCCTTGGCAACGCGCACACAATCAGGCGGTGAGCGAAATATACGTACGGCGTCAAACAAATCATTAAGCTCGGGTTGTCACATAGCATGACGGGATATCGCCAATAGAATCGCAAGTTGACTGATGGGTGAAGCTACGTAGTCGAGTCGCTCTGACAATCGACTTACCAACCTGTCCTAAATACCTCCCTATCGTGTTGGAATCTTGTCGCTGATAGGGTGAAGGTTGATCCCGGAGTAAGCCGGGTTACGTGGGAATTTCATTTGGATTACCTAGACGATTTGTGCCGCCTGTTGGTTCTGCGGCCGGATGGACAAGAAACTTTTGTTGAGCTTCTAGAGCAGAGCGATAAAAAAGAAAAAAATATCTAATTTGAAGCTGCTTTGCATTATACCCAACCGGTCTCCCGCTTCATTCATCGTCATCAGTGCTACGTTAGCGATGCCTAACGCACCTAAAGTGTGATCATCGTCACCTACCTAACGTAGGTACTCTAGATGAAGCCGCGGAGGTTGTAACTCTTACGCTGTCCTCCAGGCTAGGGTCTTTATTTAGCCTAAATATCGAAACCCGAATGGAGAGCAACGTCGAGTCTTGGCAAGCGTTGCTGCAAAGCGACTGTAGGAATGAACAATTATTAAGAGATTTCCGAACCCTGCATTTCACCGTTTCGAGGTAGGAAATTCTTCGAGTGGTGGAATAGGGGGAGATGGGCGTGTTCAAGGGAGAGTTTATTAGCCAAAAGGCCCGTCCCGTGTTTTTACTTTCTTATCTCATCACTCAAAAAACCCGTGGGGGTAAAAGGAAGAAGAAGCCTACGAGCACGATGATGCCATCAAGTAACATCTGTTTTTCGATTTTTGGAACGCCGCATTGTCAGCCTCTCAAGTCGGACAGGGGGGCTAGCGAGCACCCGCCGTTGCCAGGCTCTTGGCACGGGGATAGAGTGCGGGATGATATTAGTTCCACACCTACATGGGTATGGAATTATACATAAGTACGTCTATATACGGGGAGTAGATTCTCAAGACTAATAGATCTTGGTCGTAAATCGATAGCAACGAATACCAAGATACCACGCGATGATAAAGGCTTAAACCGAAGATGCTCGCGAAAATCACAGGGTGAGATCAGCATACGACGTGAAGGGTTATTCTAGAACGAAGTCCCTGAATCGTACTACATAGTATTAGACACCGAGGATGGGACCGGGCTAGAAGAACGGCGGACCCGGATTTGCTGGCGAACGTGAACTACTACCAAGCTAACTAACCAACGTATTTAAGGGTCCTGTTCGTAATTACGTAGTGAGGGATATGCCCTGGAAACGTCGTCACGTTCCAAGTTCTAATATCAATGAACCCCGCGTAACAGCTTCATAGGGCTGCATTGTGCCTTCTGGTACCTCAATACAAGGACTCGTGATACACTATCACTATGATGATATGTATCGGGATGAGTCTCGTAGTATTGATTGATTAATTAAAAAAGAAAGGAATCTATCTAGGAAGCTATTTACAATTTTGTATGCATTCCTTACTCGTGGACCTGTGGGTCCTTACGAGTAGTGGTCCGTGCCCAGTGGTGACGGATCCACAGCATTAGGTAGTTAGCTGACTCGATTCTTCGAAGAGGTAACTATGTATATTAAAGTTTCGGTGCGAGTCTTTTTAATTCTTAAAGCGTGTGAAGCCGTACGAAATTCACTGCGTGAAACTACACTACATACTGTGAATGTTCGTTAATGGAGAGTTGAGATGACGTAGGTTGAAGATGCAACATATCGGCCATCTCCTATTCACTTACACCATGTGTATACTGATCGCTGTAATACCCCGAAGGCATTTTATTTTGTACATACACACAAATACGGGATACTGGACCATAGATATTGAGTGAGTTGAAAGAATCATCCATCCCTTCATACGTGACTTAGCACTTCTTGCTACCCGAACACATATATATGCCTTATGAAGTAGACAGCTACATCGTAACATATAGTTACCTATGGAATATTCATCATGTTCGGATTTAGTCAATCTCGGAAATTCAACGTAGAGACGGTCTACTTCCCCCCTCTCTCTTCACCCCACGGTAGACATTATACCGGAGAAACGCAAGTAAAAAAAATCCTACGAACCAACGAGCTCAGAGCTTCCCGTGCATTAGCTTGCTGACGGCGACTGTGCACCGCCTCACTGCTATTCCCCATTTCGTTAAGACGCAATTATTACCTGCAGTTCCGGGACCGGGTCTTAAGCGATCCTGTCCGCCATCCCATCCATCCCAAGCATTGCGAACACGTGCGAGACAAGTGACAGAAGGCCAAAGCAAAGTAAAAGGAAACCTACCCAACGAGAAGCTGTCATTTTCTTCTCAAAATGTCGATTTTCAGCCTATCGCACGCCATCTTGCTTGTTCCCTCCCCCCCCTTTTTTTTTTTCGTCCAACTTGAATGTTTTTTCTTCTTTTTATTGTTGATTTAATCTACAGCCGCTGTCTCCCTATTAAAATCTGCTCGATATCCCTTTTTCTGTATTCCTCGACCTCGTAATCTTTTATTGCTACTCCTGCCATCTTTGCTTTTGTAGCGATTGTAGATTCAATTTATTTGTCTATTTGAGGAATGAAGAATATGTTCCTGCGGCTTTCAGTGTTTTATCTACTTATTTAAATCAAATACGCCGAATTAAATTGAAGCGCGCGCAACCGGGAAGGGGGCAACCATTATTGCTCTTCTTCTTCTTCTTATTGTTGTTGTTGTTATTATTACACTACATTGCATTGTACATTTGATTACACTATTTCATTATTCCTCCTTCTTGAAGCCATTCTTTTTTTACTGGTTGATTTGGATAGTTGGGGTTTTATCATATTTTATTTTATTGCTAGGTGGTTACCGTAACATCAATTGATTGTTCGGTACAAAGCCTAAAGTGGTCCTATCAGCAAGCAGATATCAGGCAAGTGCACCCTGGACGCACGCGCCGAGACATTGGATCTGAGGCTTTGACGTATGCCTGCTCTATCTGTCGTATCAATCTTCGCCGCTGCCACCTGCATCTTGAAACTAACAACCCCCCCGACCGCTGCAGGGTTAGCCTGTTAAGCCTGTTACCTCTTTTTACCTTACCTGGACTTCTGGACCTGGACCTGAGCCTGAACCTGAAATCTGAACCCGACCTTACGTACTACTAAACTTACTACAACAACAACAACAACTACGACTACGCAATCCATCTTTCTCAAATCGTCCCCCATTTCCATCAAAGACAACAATCATTTACGGAGTTTGTTACTTGTTTGATTTGGGATACCTGCGCCGACTAAATATCCCTTCTTAATTTCCGTATTATTTGTCGTTACAAACGGACGCATTGATAACTACTAAAATTATCTCCGCTAACGCGAGATTCCAACGCTCGAGCATTTTTGAGACCGTTGTTGCGCCCGACCCAAAGCTTGGTAATCTTTACTGATCTACCAACTGAAAAAAATCACATTCTTGTGCGCATCGCATATTTTCATTCGATAGCGACCGAGAAAAAAAGCTTATGCTTACGGCGCCATCGGTTACTAGTATTAGAATAGGTAAGCATCATGATTTCAGATTTTGTTTCGTTGTCGTCCGTGTCCCGCGTCCCTGGCCCGCGCCTGAACTTAGGTTTGCTGGCGTCTTGCTGGCGTGTTTCGCACAAGCATAAGGGTTCGTCGTCTGATCCTTTTATTATCCTCCCTGTTCCTAGCAATCCCATCTCTGTTTGCGCAACCCTTTACTCGGGGGCGGTGTTGGCGGATAGAACCAGTAAAGATGCTGGAATATGATCTGGAATATGATGAAAGCTGTGAATTGCGCCTTGTTGTTGGTCAGTGAGGCTAGAGTTGGGCTATGCACCTATGCACCTATGCCATCTAGTCATTCAGTTTGACAATCCACACCTCACGACCTAGTCATTCTCTCTCTTAGTGGTCAAACTTGACGATATCTTTCATTCATTCGGTCTTCGTCAAGCGAATCTTCTGGTACAAATCTTCTGGTACAAAACAACCATGATACTTTTACCATCTGGTTGTTTGTATGGAACCGTGAACCTTGCCACCTGGAATCACAGTGACATATGGGGCGTTCCACCCATTTCTGGCCTTATCTGCCTCATCGTGGATCGTTGGGCTGTCGAGATTGTGGCCCGAACATTTTCTTGTTTACCCGTTTTCCCCACTCGTGGACCCAGAAGTTTACTGCGAGAGAAAGCAAAGCAGAAGCAGAAGAAGGCCAACCAGCTAGACTCGAGTCACCGAACTGCTGATCGACTACTTGACTTAACTGAGCCGGGCTGAGCTGAGTCGAGCCGAGTCGAGCCAAATCGAATCCCCTTCATTCTACCTTCGTTTTAAAAACCAGACACGATCAAGACAACTTAATACGATGGGATAGATTCACCAACTAATACCTGCTTCTTTTTAGGCCTCTTAATAATTCTCGATTGCGATATCCACTTCGCATATTAATCAACCAACTAGACTTACTACTACCACCACTACTACTACACTCTTCGCAAGACGATGCGATGGCTGCTATAATTGGAGATTTTGTTTCGGAACATACCCGCCTCCATAATATGATTGCAGCTTCTAGCTTACCTCACGAACACTCGCGATCTCGCGAATCTTCATACCGGTCAGATTCTAGAAACCGACCGCGCGAAACACCATCTCAGACGGGTTACTCTCCCACTATCTCAGCCGCGTCTTACCGACCTTCAGTGCCGAGTGCGACACCTTCTAAACGATCTTGGGAATCTACAGAAGCAGAGACAGGGACGGAGCAAAAATACATCTCATCCACCGGCGGAGCCTCAAGGTTCCCCACGCCACCTGATTCTTCCTCGCCGAACCCCGCTTCCGCACGCGTAAGAGCACAGAATGCAAGCCCGTCGTCAGAATACATGGCATCGGAGACCCAAGCGACTACATCGGCGATACCTAGCAGTTCTACACCCACACCTACCCAGCAGCAACCATCTCCTGATTCCGATTCACACAAGTCCCCGACCCCACGCGTCAATGCCGATAGTACCTCAACTCCGTCGGAAGGACACACTGTCTATGTGCGCGATCTCGCGCATATCCAGAGCCTTGCTCGCGCCGACCTAATGAACGGAGGCAATGGACCAGGCATATTAAATGACCCGCCACTCCAGGCGATGAAGTATGAGATCAGCCAAATGCCGATAGGCGACATCATTGAAATGGTTGCAGCTCTTTTAACAAAAATCACCACCACCAATGATCTTCAGCATGATGCCTTGCATAGAAACGCCACCCACCAGCAGACCGCAGCCAGCCACAACAGCGAAGGCACCTCGATGAGCCCTTTGAGCAGTTCTGTTCTTGCATTCCACGGCAAGAACGTGCCGGCAATCACGATTTTGAGTTACCTGAGCAGGATTCACAAGTACTGCCCAACTACGTATGAGGTATTCCTCAGTCTTTTAGTTTACTTCGACCGCATGACTGAGCGCGTGAACACTATGGTAATGGAGGCAGAAGCAGCGAGGAGGCAGTCACAGACCCAACAACCCTCACGATCTCAGGCCTCGGTGGCAGAGGCGCAGTCCGGCAGCAATGCCGACAGAGAGATGCGAGATGATGACAGTGACGGCGATGAAACTGAGTCCGATCTCGTCGATGACGATCCCGGTGAAAAAGGGAGAGAGAAAAGGAGCCGGGAAAAGCGAGCAAGAGCAGCGCCGCCGCCGCCACCTACTTCGTCCGCCACTTATTTTGTTGTCGACAGCTTCAATATTCATCGCCTAATCATTGCGGGTGTCACTTGCGCGAGCAAATTCTTCTCGGATGTTTTCTATACTAATTCGAGATACGCTAAGGTAAGTTGCTTCCCTAAATACCTCTTAGGTACCTATATCACACTCCAGTTCCCTCTCGCTTGTAGCCTCTTCAATGTCTACCTACTACCCACGTCCATATATACCTCTTCCATGTAAAATCTATTCTAATACGTTCGCCTTCTAGGTCGGTGGCCTCCCGCTAGCAGAGCTCAACCATCTCGAACTGCAGTTCCTTCTGCTAAACGATTTCCGACTTGCCGTACCCGTCGAGGATCTGGAAGCTTATGCTACGATGCTTGTCGAATTTTATGCTCGAGAAGTCGTCGCTCAGCGTTCGCGGCCAGTGAGCGGGACCGAGTAAGCTTACGAGCCGATCATATTTGGGATAGGAAGTTCTGGGACAAGATGAGTGTTGCTGGAGGTGCTCTGCTTGGATTACATTTATACCTATTAAATACCTAAGTAATCACTCGCGATCCTCTATATGCGTTTGCCCCATCTCTATGGTCAGGTAGGGACCGTCGAAGAAGCTGGAATATGCAGGATTGTCGAGTCGGGGGTGGAAGAAACCTTGACTCCGCCGACGTAGAGATTAATTGGTCGTCGTATCAGATTTGCATGGGGCTAGCCCTGGGGATTCGATTCCGTGTAAGATGAGTTTAGGTCGGTTAGGCGCCCCTTAGAGGCGGGAACGGAAGGGGGGGTGAGTTATTGTCACTCTTATTTGATACCCGGATTAGATTTCCTTCGGGCTTAACTCCCTCTCCGTCGTTACGAAATAATTTGAAAATGTATTCTTCAAAATTGCTCGTCTCGTGATATCCTCGCGTAATAAAATAATAACAGTACTCGAACGAGTTGGAATAGGAACAACGGAATAGGGGTTCCTATGGTATAGTATATAGAAACTTACTAATATCAGATTAAAGAAAATAGATAATCCATACCCATTAAGTTAACCCTAGGTATCTGACTTGTTTGAAACTATTTGTCCATTGCTTATAATTATGGTATGCACCGATGGACTATAACTTTGTATATCATTTCGTGCTGAAGAGTAAAATGTATTAGAGTCAGTTATATTTATTGAGAATAGGTTCAACGGATGTGCTAGAGCCCATACATGCGTTACATTTCGGTCCATCCGGTACAGCAGTGGAAAGGCTTGTAAGTTAAAGTATTTAGGAACCATGTAACTATGCTACTAAGTGCCTGTCCATTTTGAATCATGTAGTAACTGATCAGCTTTCATTTTTCAAGAACAAGGAATCTGCGTATGAAAATTAATGAATGAGGTTGAGTTACTATCGCTTTATACCTTGTAAAGAATGCCATTGTTATGTGCAAGACGATTGTTACGTATGTGATAGAATTGCCGTATAAGTATACCTTTAAGATAAGATCGAACCGGCATTGATTTAACAGAGTATTTTCAACTCGTAGCTACTTTTGCGTATATTCTTATTCATCTCATACGGATACTACTTATCTGGAAAAGTACATAATAACGATGGAGGAGCCGGTATACATGTTGGATAGGAACGCTAGGCAACTTGAGGAAATTTGGGAATGCGAAGAGGGACGGCTGGATCCACAAAAGGTGATTCAACGTCCGGCCATCCTTCACGTCCAATTATACCCTAAATCAGATGTCTCTCAGGACTTGGAAGAATTCGTCAAAGATCTTGGTGGAAGCGCTCCCTATACACATCCAAAATCGCAGATTCGGTGTATAATTTGGCATTTGTTTGTAGCATTTGGGTACGGCGTACGCTCCAAAGACCATTTCCGTTTGCTAGAGCCTACGAGGAGAAAGACGATGATTGGTAGAACCGCGGAACTCTACCCACTGTATGAAGGCGAGAAGCCTGTAGATTTCCATTTCCTGGTAAACTACCATTTTCGAGGGTTGGACACGCCGGACAACGAGATACCCCAGGAGGACACGGTAGTTTGGTGGCCAAATGTCATAGTCTACCTCTCGGAGGTATATCGCACTATGGTACAGATTGACCGGACTAGTCAAGACGGTATGCAGAAGTTCTTTGGGTTCTTCGCGCGGCCGTATGTCCGCATGCAAGAATATTGGATTATGATTGACGAAAAGGTACATTCCACACCTGTGGAAGAAGATTTCGCCGCGGGACCAGACGCTATTGATGATATATACGAGAACAAGCTAGATGATGCGATGAGAACTAAGCTGAGAACCAAATTTGAGATATACAATTCCGATGATACAGTCCGATGTAGGTTAGAAGACATTGTGGCTGTTAACGACGTTGAGGGGTTGACTGCTACACAAAAACGCAGACTTCGTACGGTGGCGGCATATCTAAGGTTCTGGGGCGACAGTGCACCGGTAACGCCTCGAGCTATACGATATGCTCGTCCGGGCGAGAAAAGCCATGGGGAACCGGCCACTATTATTGAGCTCGTTCATAAATTAGACGTAAGGGAGCCTAACGATCGTGTAGGGTTGAAGTTCTTCCCTGCCGTCACCCCCCGCTAAATAGGGGTACTTCGCGCGTATCAAGGTATAAAGGCCTGCGAAAAGAAGTATACCTTTCCCGAAGATAGACAGACGTATATAAGTTACGATATTATGTAACAAAGGCCTCGGTGACCCTGTATCAAACGGTGATAGAGAATGTAACTGTTCGGGAGAAAAAACCTAAAACTCATTTGTAAGAAAATATGAAGCCTATCAAGTCTTATATATTCAATTAGTACTGCCACAATTTTTTGCGCATGATGCCCCCCCTTTTCATCCTCTTTCCTCCGTCCGCGGCTTGAGCGGACGGGGCAACGCTGGTAGTTGTATTGACATACGAGGACGACCACGAGGACGACCACGAGGGCGGCTATGATCGGAGCCACGACTGGAACCACGACCGGGACCACGGAGGCGACCACGAGAGCGACCAGGGGGACGACCGCGTGGCAGCTGAGAGGGCGAGTTAGGAGGAGAAGGCCAATCATATAGACGAGGTCGTCCGCGGCGGCGAGGTAGCGATGTATGTAAGCGAGGTCGTGATGTATGTAAGCGAGGTCGTCCACGACGTCTAGGACTTCGGCTAATAGGAGGGGAATGGCTAGTTGGATCTTGCTGGTTATCGGAATTACCTGCCATATTTTGCTGAATTAACTGTAGCATCTCTGGGGTTTGAGAAGGTCTTTCGCTGTGAGGTTCAACTTTGCAATCTTCTTGCTGAATTTCTGATATCTCATGATGAGTTGCAGCCATTTCTGGCGCATCATCTGTTTGAACACGACCGCCATCGTGATGTGTCTTGCTAAGAGCAGTGGCAGTGTGACCAAGACTTTGACTTTGCGGACGTTGAGGTTGAGGCACGCCTTCGGGAGGGATGCGACTATTGTTTGGTAGGCCTATTGAGGCGGTATTATTATTTCTGTCATCCATACCTAAATGCTAACCTGTGGAATTGGTCTTGTATTACGGGTGCGTTTGCTAAATCTAAAGAGTCTCAATCTAAAGAGCATTACTATTTCAGTAGTATTTGAATTTCAGTAGTATTTGAATTTCAGTAGTATTTGAATTTCAGTAGTATTTGAATTTCAGCTGTAGCTTAGCAGCTTAGGTACCTGTTATTCTTTACGTAATCCCATACAAACTCCTTATCAACTATCTTATATCTTATCAATCAACTACCTTATCAAACATTGTTACCCTTGTAGATGCTGATCCTGGAACTACCTAAACACCACACCACTCTGTTATATCTCCTTTACAAGTCATGCTAATGTACGCCCATCCGAGGCGCTGTCTGTATAGCATCCGAGATAAGTAGCGGTCCCATTTGCTGCTCTCAGAACGTTGTTATTTCCCTGGATCGACTCTGTCTGGGTGGGCTGTGGTGTAGCAGACTGGGACTGACTCGGCGAAGCTTGAGCAAGACTCCAAACACTCATTTTGAGGCTACCACCACAAAATCCACGCGAGTCCCCTTTGCACTTCATGTCGCACCGACTACTATCTGCGATGAGAGTGCCCGTGTTAACATTGCCGCAGTAGCACTCTTGCGAATATTCTGTCCCAGCTAACGAGTATCCCTTGCCTTTACAATATGATGCGCACTTCTCGTTCGTCATTGCTGCCGTGTCGAACATGCTATCGTTACTTAATGCTCTATTGTTTCCACCTGGATCGCTAAAACAACCCATGTATGTCGCGCTGCCGTTGTTAATCGTTGTAGTATCGACTAAAAGCGTCGTTACGGATTGCGAATAGGAGGTGTCGTTCCATATGGCTAAGAGGTTTGGTGCGCCGCACCACTCTGTCGCATTACCAGCACATATCATCTGGGATTTTGTTGAGCAATCCGCTATAGCTGCGCTGCCAAGGGAACTCCCGCAATAGCATTCCCTTGAATACTCGAGGCCTGCAAAGGGATAACCTTGAGACTTGCAGACTGATGTGCAGTACTCAATGGTCATATTATCAGCTGCAATCGAGTGCCCACTCAATGTCCTTGAACTACCGCTATCAGATGCGCACCCTGCGAAAGAGAACGTAGTCCCGTCGAGTTTCTGTCCTGCAGAAGGACTAAACATAGTATAGGACTCGTGATAATCTACAGGATTAACAGAGGGTGTGTCTGGACATACAGGCTGAATCGCTCTCTCGGGACCAGGTGTAACTACGTTACAGCCGGGGAGACATTCCAGCATCCCCTTTACTTTCTCGTTAACAATTGGTTTACGCTCTGGGCAATTGGTGGCGTAATAAGGCGTCTGGGACTTGGCTAGCGGCGGGCATTTTGAGATCTGACCGTTGGAAGAGTCGTCGTTGACGCACTGCTCCAAAGCATCAGCAAGAACTTCCGTATCCCAGCCGTTCATGAAGTCTCCGTGAAAACTGAATCCGGTAGGATCACCATTCGCGAAGACGAATTGCCCGCCTGCCTCCTTATTTATGTCATTCACACCATAAATGACCTCGAAGAATAAGTGCGCCAGCTGTCTTGGATGCGAAGGCGGGCAGACGCCATTGTCGATACCGGACATATATGCCACGTGCGACTGGTCAAGTTGGTAGTCTTGCCCGTTCCAGCATGATGGGAATTGTATCTGAGCACGAAGACCGTTGTTGCAATCGGTGCGGAACATGTAGTTCTGTTCCGGGATGCTACCCGAACTATCAAGACACGCAAAGGACACGCGGTCGGACACCAGACGGCTTCCAGAGTTTCCGCCGGCAGAGTAAGTAAAAGATGTGGTATCGTTTGATCGGAGGTATGGGTCCCCTGACACCATCCGGAATCCGGGTGGGAAAGGTTCAATATTAGACCGGTTTTCTCCGCGCCCAAGATAGTAGACGACCGTCCCGCCATTGGGAACTTCCTCGAGGCTTCCGTTAGCATGCTGATAGTAGAGCTGCGGTGTCCAGTAGATCGACTTGTCGTCTTGCACTTCGCACGAGGTGCACTGCGAGGCAATTAGGTCTTCGTAGGTATTCGACAGACCAAAATTGCTTGCGCCGGAGACCTTATGGACATGGGCTGAAACAGCGCCGGGGGATACGTTAGGATCTAGTCGGCCGGTTTGGATAATGGAGCAGGACATGCGCCAGTAGGCGTCTGCGCCGTGAAAACAGGCAGATGACGCCGCTAACACGCCCAGTAATACCCTTCTTGAGTTGTCCATGCCGGGCAGTAGTGCGATAGTCAATTAGGGAATAAGATTCACATATTCAACGAGAGATTCCTCTGCTTATAGACTTCCCTCTGAACGAACGGATGAGAAATCATACATGCGCTATACACCTTGCGCGAGTAAGTACACAAGGACAAGCCGCGCCCAATGCCTCTTCTGGCCAAGGTTGGATTTCAAACACTACGAAATATCTCCAAGACACCGACTCTGAGGAAAGAGTGCTATTATTGGAGTCATATGCTCTTTTGGTCCAGAATAAGTTCAAGTGGGGATACTTAAGACATATTATTCTGCAGTCTATAGCAGTAAGCAGTCTAGACCTATGCCTCTAGACGGGCGAAAGGATCTTGGTGAATACCGCAATGTCTCGCCTGGTCCTAATAGGGGGAAACCTCGATATCTGTGTGGTACGACCGTCTGTTGGGGGGGACAATTCTCGTGCAACGGTATTACCGACTTAGAGATCGTGTGTGTTACAACCTTTGACTGACGCTGTGCTGGGAATAGGCAATTGTCTAACCCCTGAGCTAGAGTATATACCAAGATGGGACTGGTACCTATTCACAAGAGCTCTACCGAGTGAAAGACTAATACCCTTCAGTAGACTGGGTAGTCTAAGTAACTCTTCCCGGTGGGTTGATTTACGGGCATATCAGAATATAGGTAAACATCGTAGCTGGGGATCGGAAGTAAGGTAAACTGAACAAAGTATCCTTTTCTTCTTATTGACTGTGGTTGGTACTTACCTACCTGATAGAGAAGATGAAAATGTTCGAAAATTGGAACTGTCCTCATGTTTCCTCCTATCTTCTAAAACTCATATTCCATAGGTAGCTAACTACGAGAATTTTATAATGTGACTATTGAACAATTGCCATTTCTAATTGAATTAATAACACTTACTTAGGATTACTAATAGCTACTTGTTATATGATTTCTAACTCCTAGAAGAGCGATAATGGGAATGAGGATGAGAAAGACGTGAGTTGAGAATCTTTTACGGATCCTTGCAGATGGGAGGATATGTATGGTTTAAAAGACTCCGCCTGACCTGTCATTTCCTGTAAGTGCGTCATATGAGAGTGAAGCTCAATTTAATTGTTAATATAGATAGTATTAAACATTTTCGTTACGTTGTACATGTGTCTTGGCTATTTTTAGTCCGTTCCGAGACGAAAACTTTTCTGTTCAAGATATTATCTACATACAAGCAGGCATCTGGACTACGGATGAATATTTTATCATTTTACTTATGCTTGTGGAGATACAAGAAAAGGATAAAACCTTTCTCTAAGTACTTCCCATAACTAGGTATGTATATGTAATAATGTTTAGTTATAATATCTCATACTTTCTAGTTCCCACCATGAATAACAGGTTACGAAAATGCTGTCTAACTACGTAATGATGCCCCATCATAGTTGAAACATTTCCAGCCGCAATTCATAATGAGACAGCGACGTAGGGTAGCAAAGTGACCAGGGTCTGCGCCGTACACGGCAATTAACTGCAATTAACTGGGCCTAATGCAGGGGTTGGGAAGGATGCCAAGGGCGGGATGGCTGGAGCTCATGCGGATCATGATGATCATGATGCGACCCACGATCTGATGTGTCCCGGTCCTAACAGCGAACGCGTCACTGACTGCCCCTTTTTTCTATTTGACAAATTCTTCTCAAAAAAATCCACGAAAAAAACAGAACTAAGAAATTAAAATTTTGTGTGTAGTAGTGACATGCTGTCGAATAGGAATTGAAGTAATTCTACCGTCCACTTAATAATATTAGGACCTGAACCAGCCGAGACTAGAATGATTACCCGATTTTTTCTTGTTTGTTTGCCTACCACATAGCTCCGTTAGGTGATAATTATGACGCTCGTCGGCAGCCCACGAGGCTTGCGGTCTTTCGTCCTTCCAATCGGGCTGATCGCTATTAGTCTCGTGGCTTTGGCATTATACCGCGGTATAGGGGACGACGATGGCTTCCTACGAAACCTCTCTATGATAAATAATGGGAAAGCAACCCAAGCTAGCACCCACGAGAATCACCGCCCGACAAACACCCATGCGCCTCCGAAGTACAAGGAAACGCCAAACTTTGCAGCCCCTTCTGCGACCGATCCATTCCCTCTCCTCACGAACCCGACAGCAACACCTCCGCCTATTCCAGAATATAATGTCCCCCGTCCTGGTTTACATCGAGAGTACGGCCTTTCATATACCCCGCCGCTCTTCATTGGATTTACCCGACAATGGCCAATGCTTCTGCAATGCGTGGTTGGGTACTTGACAGCGGGATGGCCGCCTGAATCCATCTTTGTAGTTGAAAATACAGGCGTACAAGATGCGAATGCGCAGGGAAAGCTTAGTCTGCAAAACCCCTTTTATCTCAATCACGCAACGTTGCGCAAGCTCGGGGTCAACATTATACAGACGCCCGTCTTGTTGACGTTCTCGCAAATGCAGAACTTCTTTCTGAATACCGCGCTCTCCCGGTCCTGGCCGTACTACTTTTATTCGCACCAGGACGTGTTGGTATTTTCGTTCGAGGACGGGCCCGACACGCTGGAGCGTGATGGCGATAGGAATTGGTTCTTTTATGACGAGAAAGAAGAAGCGGATATTATGCGCCCAGCAGCGGCTGGCCAGGACGGATATAAGACCATATATGAAAACTGCTTGCGCGAGCTAAACCAGACCTTGGAAAGGGAGGAGCGTTGGGCCTTCCGTTGGTTCCAGTACGATCATCTTACGTTGGTAAACAGGGCAGCGCTGGACGCTGTAGGTGGATGGGACTCGCTGATGCCGTACTACGGCAGCGATTGCGACATGAACGCGAGGTTGGAAATGGATGGATGGACTATGAGGCATCGTCGTGTGGGCATAATTAACGACGTATCAACTGTATTAGAGGATTTGGCCGCATTGTACCGCGATCCGAACGTGGTCCCTAGATTTATCGATCCGAATCCAGCTTTTGTACCAAAGGAGCAATCCAAGGAGGCGCAGAAGGAACCATCGAAAGGGGAAGAAAATGGGACGGATAAGGAACAGAGCAAGGACGGAAAGGAGGGAAAGGAGGCGAAGGTGGATCAGAAAAGGGACGAGAAGGGGGTTAATGGTACCGAGAGTATGAGTGTTGCCAGGTCGATTGAGTATTTCCGGGAGCTGGTTAATGTTGGTAACGACATGGGGGCGTATAAGTATCGCGACAAGAAGAACGCTCGCAACTCGTGGCAAAACAGCCAGCACGGCGGAGTGGGTGAGCCTTATTATTATAACCCGGAGGGATTCGCGGCGTCGTTCTGGATCTTGGCCGAGGCTGGCCGCGAGGTCTTCCGTCAGAAGTGGGGGCACCGCGAGTGCAATCTGGTCGAGGAAACGGCGTTGAAGCTGGAAGATCAGTGGCTCGTCGAAAAGGATTGGGAATAGGCACTGCGGAAAATACATCTACGGGGTGTTGATTCTAGAGTCGTTCTCCTCTGTAGATAGGCTGTTTGGATACTGTAATGATGTCTCCCAAGGGATTATTGGGCAATAGTCAGTAATTATGTGTGGATAAAGACGTTATACTTGTACCATATCCAATGTCTATATAGATTAGGTATCTACTCGTTTATTTCTATGATGTCTCTTCTTTACTAACAGATGTTGATAACTCGTCTCGGGTTTGCGCTGGAGGGTGCAGGGATTTTGTAATATTTAAAACGGGCTCGGATATCCGATCTACTATAGTTAAAAGGAAAGCAAACAGGAAATTGGCGCCTAACACACCTATAAGCCTTATTGATGCATGTTAGACATGCCTGCACAAGCTCTGTATAGCTATATTTTCGTGTGGCTAGTAGAATATGGCATCTTAGGGGCCGGGCCTAACCATCTACTAGAGATACGAATCGACTTTTACTACCTTTTCCCCTTTTTATATCTTAGTTCCTAACTCATTGTCAACCCCCCGTACCAACTCCGGTCTCAGTCATCACGCCTCTTCCCAACTTAAACTAAATACTTCAGTTCCTGCCTTGGATATCCCGACCTCGATGCTCCCATCCTTGCTCGATACACTTGCTGGGATCTTCTCTCCTTTTCTTTCAAGCACGATCTTCTTACCCGAGCTTTCTGGAAGTTTATAAAAGCGTCGTCCAAACTGACTGAGGAACCCGGCTAATTTCTCCTGTGTGACATCTGCTTCCGTAATCACACCACGGTCAATAGCCTCCTCGAGGGCAAGAAGGACGAGCTGCGTCACGTAAGGCTGAGTGTACACGCCAGCCGGCGCTTTGCCCTGCTCAGCAGACGTTTTAGACTGAAGGGGATGAGGGGCACTATCACTTCCACTAATATATATAGTGATGATTAATATACCGATGGGGCGATAAGTATAGAGATTTCTCAGGGATGGCTTACAAGAAGAAATTTGGATCACCGCTGACAACGGTTTTGACTAGTGCGTCCCTATCTGTAGGTTTCTTCGGGATAGGTTTGCAGAAGGCAAAGGGGTCGCAGTGGGCTTCATCGGAAGTGAGATATAGGTGGTGGGCAGTGATTGTAGCTAGTTACAACTATATTAGTATTTCTCACCGTAGAGTAAAGAGAAAGGATATATCATACCACCCACGGTAGGCCCGCAAGCCCGCACAGCTTCAACAGCTGCTGCCGTAGTACAATGCTCGAGCTAAGGCGTATGTTAGTGGTTTTTTGACGCTGGACCCGGAAAACACGTGTGCAACATACTACGATGCGTAGATTTGGGAAACGCTCATGAAGCGTCTTTAGGGTCGGAAGAAATGCTTCTTCCAGAGTTGTACCTTCTGGTGCAAGGGACTCTAGGACTTCTCCATGAAGATTTAGCACTAGGGGTACATAGCTTTGTCAGCTTGGTCTACTCTATGAGAAAGATGAGTGACTACTCGAAAGTCAAAGAGGAACCTAGGCGGGAATAGGATTTCCAGAAGGGGTAAACAAGGAAACGTAGAGCTTGAAAGGTGGCATTATGTACCCATGTCATGTTGCTCCATGGCGGCGAAGGTAGCATAGAAGGACTCAAGATTCGAGACGCCAGATTCGGAGTTGGTAGTTACCCCTGAAATTCGTTAGTTCCATACTCTTGGGGACGAAGAGAATCAGGCTTACCTTGAGGATACATCTTGACACCTGTGATACCAGCTGCTGCGGCTTGGGCAATGACATCGGGTGTTACAGAGGGGTGAAGCTAAGAAAGAGTTAGTCGGGTTAACCCCTATTATAGAAAGACATAGTAAATAACTAGTAGTAGGGAACTTACGAAGAGTGACATAAGAAAGTTTACATCTGGAGCTATCGCTTGTAGCTTAGATCGGTATTCTAGAACCTTTATAAGAGTTAATCACTAGTTTCTAGTAATTTTATACGGTCCGTTTATACATACCTGTTCAACAGTAGTAAGGGGTGGTATCTAGATTTGACCGTATTAGAGTATACAAATTCAGGTCTTCTGTGGTATATCCTAGTAGAATTTAATAAGGCTTACATACAAGATTAGGCATGCTGTACTCTTTAGTCAGCTCGCATATTTCCCCTTGAAGATGTCAAGTGAAGAAGGCATACACAAATACAGTGTCAACACCACCCTGGCGCACGGTAGGCACCATCAATTCCATTAGCTCGCCCTGTCGCAAATGGACGTGCATATCTGCTGCGGGCGGCAGCTCAAGCCGTTGGACTTCTTTCAATTGCATCTTGTGAGATTGTTATAATATGTCGCGAGGAAGGTTTCCTTGGGTAATAAGAGGGATTTTCGGTCGTGACGAAAAATGATTTTTGGTACCCTTAAAAGATTTTATACAGTAACTACCTTTTTTAGGTACATCACAAGGTCGAAGTATTACCTAGTGCCAAAGCACAGGCCACATATATTTCAGCTGTTGGAAGATCACGTGAGTAAGCCACATTTAGGGGTAGAAGACAACATCGATCTTATGTTGGATTGGCATGGAAATACTATGATATCCTACTTTTCGGTATCGTTTATTTATACTATAACCCTGCCCCTACATCGAGATGGCTACGGTGGATATAAAATCATCGGATAAGTTATTACTTATGGACTCAAAACATACTGAACCCCAGCGGTTACATACATCGATCAACCTTAAGTCGTCGAAATCTATTCAGCGACATTTTGGGTCAGACCGAACGAACTATCCTCTCAAGCCATCAAGAAACCAACAATCCTTATCAGATCACGCCCAATATACCTCCTCTAATTCGCAAAAGCTATTAGCGAACGATGAGCAACCATCAACAAACAACCCCTATACGCCCCCACCCAATTCGCCAAAATTATCAACAAGCAATAAGCAGTTCCTAGAAGACTACCCCCAACATACCCTCTCTCCAATATTCCTTTCGTCAGCAGATATCGAATCACGCTTCTCATTACACTCCGAGAAAGGCTTCGAGATATTTACGTGGCTTGAAGGTACTCGACAACAACCGTTAGCATCTATACCTACTAGTGATACGCCCTATCGCCCAACCGACTTTGCCATAATGGTTGGCAGTACTTCATCTAGCTTTAGAAATCAATCTGCGCGATCTGAAACTTCCCTACTAATGCAGTACCATAATTTTCGATCTACTATATTCCCTCCCAATCTCATTTACTTCCGGGACGCGACAAACTCGGAGGACAGGGTGCCAGAGGACATTAAATCACGATATTTCGACCCTTTAGTGCAAACAGTACGGCAATTAATAAATCTATCGGATATTCCTCCGGATATACAGCAGAAACAATACACATATCGTAACAAAATAGCCGAATTGGTTAGCTACCAGGAAGCATTCAACTCCTTCATACAGGTTATGGATCTTAAAAGTACTGGCTGGATCGACGGAACCCAACGATTGTCCTACCAATCTCGTGAACGGTTTGATCCTATTGTTTTGCCACCAGCAATGGGCAACAGTAATGAACTTACGTTGCCTAATCCTAGACCCGATATCCTATACGGCTATAACCCTGACTTTGTACCCGATCTACTACCCCCAGACGATCTCAACACAACATACCGGAAGTTCAGAAGTACATCTAGCTCCGAACCTCTGGTTTATTTCCCATATCTCGCTATACATGCCGGAAATAACCTAACTGGAGTTGAAAATGACTGCATTATTAGCGGCCGTATAATGTTAGATATGACTTGGCCGATATTTGAACGCAGCGATGCAGTATTTCTCCTCGCTGTAACGCCAACTCAGGCGAATCTTCATATCATGTGGAGAGAGTCGATATCAGATCCTCCGATTCAAGATTCGTCGGAACACGCAATAGACATTGACATAGTTATTCGTCGTCAGTATAAGGTAGACTTCGTTGAATCTTTTGCTATAGCTTCCTTGTATGCGTTTTTATCTCTCCGATCAACACTTCATCAGATCCACATTTTGGCCCACGAAAGGCTGGAACAAATTCGACCTAGAATTCAGCAATGGAAAGCCGCCGGTGGACACATGCACGAATTTACACCAGTTGGACGTTACCACACTGCTTCAGTACCAGAAGAAGCAACTGAAAGCTGAATTTTGATGTGGAGTAGGAGGCGGCTGAGCTTAGAAGTGGAGTGCTCTTCAGTGTCCCTCCCAGTGGATTCAGGGGCTGGTTAAGTATGGTACGGGCAACTGATTAAGGATATATACTACTTCATTAAAGATATTAACTAGAAAATAACCGAATATTAAACTGGTATATGATTAGATACGTAGGTTAGGTAGGTAACTAGATATGACTTGGTTTGAGTTACATCCATTCTTCTGAAACTATGTCTTGTATTCTCTACCAGGCAGTTTGCTATGTTAAATTCTTCGACCTGATTAGGTAGTTAATAGGTAGGTACTCAGAAAGAGTGAGTCGTGGGGCTTTGCTTCAGTCACTTAGGTAAATATTTTGTTGTCTCGTATTGTTACTATTAGCAATGTCTACTAGTAAGTACCAATAATTATCTTAGGTAGATAAGTAGCCCTACCGCAGGCCATACTTATTGTATTCTGTTCTCTGGTAGATTTTCTCTTGTCTGCTTCTTCCATTCTTTTGTATCCTATCCTCAGGGGTTGGTCGTGCTGGGACGAGAACTCATGGCTAGAATACTAGGGAAGAGCTTTTCGGCTATCGCGAAGGCGCTTGGTGTAAAAGGTAGTGCTGATGCGCACTTGACCCCAGAGAGCATCGTCCAGCGTAGTAGCGAAGCGATTTCCCCATTCGAGCCATTCGTAGAACAGATTCCATCAACGAAAGAATGGATTCTCGAACAATTCCCGAACCGAATCAACCTTATTCCATACCTCCAAAGCCTTTTCCCTTTTATCGGATGGGCCCGACGATATAATACGCGATGGCTAACCACCGACCTCATTGCTGGTATTGTACTATCCCTTATCCAAGTCTAGCCCAGTATGATCTAACCATTCCTAGGTTGTACACTTAGTCTCGTGATGATCCCACAGGGGTTGTCCAATGCGATATTAACGAATCTAAGCCCTGAATTTGGGCTTTTTACCACATTTGCGGGTGCTTCGATATATTGGATTTTTGGGACATCTAAGGATATATGTGTTGGGGTATGTGTATATGTCCTTTTGGGTATGTGTGGTTGAATACCTTGCTAATCTTTGAAAAGGCAACCGCCGTAATATCTCTGCTCGTTGGAAAGACGGGAACCAGTGTTATCGACAAACATCCCAACTTTACTTTAGAAGAAGTGGCCAAGACTCACGCATTCCTCGCTGGCTGCGTTTTTCTTATCCTTGGTCTCTTACAATTAGGATGGATTATCGAGTTGATACCTCATGTCGCTATTTCGGCTTTCGTCACCGCCGCCGCAATTACCATCGCTCTTGGTCAGGTACCAAACCTTCTAGGGATTAGGGACATCAACACTAGGGGTCCAGCTTATCAAATCTTCATTGATATATGTAAGGGGCTCGGCCGAATAGAGCTGGATGCAGTGGTGGGACTTACAGCCTTGCTACTATTGATGTCCGTAAAGTGGCTATTCCAATACTTGGCGGTACGGAAACCTCATCGGGAAAAGATGTTGAATACACTTGCCTCACTTCGACTATCTTTTACTGTATTTCTTTACATTTTGGTCAGTTATCTGCTCAATAGGAATATCCCGCAAGAAGAGTTCAAGTTCCGTATACTTGGACATATCCCAACAGGTGCGTATATCATTCCAAACGATAAGTCGCCATTAGCTTATGCATGACAGGTTTTGGTCATATTGGGCCTCCAACTCTTCAACCCGAATTGGTGAAAAGTCTTCTGTCTGAGCTTCCGGCTATGGCAATTGTTATCATCGTTGAACATATTGCTATTGGTAAATCCTTGGCTCAGAAGAACGAGTACAGCATAGCACCATCGCAAGAGCTGGTCGCAGTCGGTGCGATAAATTTAGCTGGACCATTTGTTGGTGCTTATGCTTCAACGGCTTCATTCGGCGGTAGTGCATTGCTGTCGAAAGTCCGTGTTAAAACACCCTTGGCCGGGATTTTTAACGCCGTTATTCTTGCCCTGGCTTTATATGCGTTAGGCCAGGTCTTATACTGGACCCCGATTGCTACTATGGCGGCTCTCATAATACATGCCGTGATCGGTTTACCCATTTCTCTTGATGAGTTGCGTAAATTATGGATGGTATCGCCACCAGATCTTGTCATCTACGCTATCGGACTCCTGGCGTCTATTTTCAGTACGCTTGAGAACGGAATCTATGTGACTACGGCCTTATCTGCTTGCCTCATTCTCGTCCGGCTTCTTCGTGGCCGGGGGCAATTTCTTGGGCGCGTTCAAATTTACCAATACCCAAATTCACGCACAAGAAGCTCAGTTACAGCAGATCCACCGTTTACATTGGCAACCCGTCCCAGAGATGCTTTCTTCCGACTCGATCGAAATGATGCATCAAACCCATCCGTCTATATTGAGTCTCCTCGTCCAGGGGTATTCATTTATCGCTTCCCTGAAGGTTTCAATTACGTCAATCAAGCCCAGCATATGGAGTTTCTTCTCGCATATGTAACAAGAGAAACCTGCCGAACCACCGTACTTGACTATAAGAATCCCGGTGTGAGTAAGGTCGCATCTAATAGGAGAACAGTATTCACTAACTTTCATGATTTAGGACCGACCGTGGAATGAGTGCGCCCCCCCTCGTTCTAAAGAAGTACCAAATCAGCTCGGTTCAGAGACCACCAAGCCAACTCTCAAAGCGCTAGTCTTTGACTTTTCTACTGTGAGCAACATCGACGCCGACGCAATAAATGGACTGATCATTCTTCGCAAGCAACTAGAACGCTGGTCATCCCCAGAAACTGTTCAATTGCACTTTGCAAGCGTAGATAGCCGCTGGGTGCGTAGGGCGTTGGCTGTATCTGGATTCGGTTACCCAAGGGGCAGAGAGTTGGAAGCCCCTATTCCCTGGAGTCCGGTATTCAGTCTCGCAAAGAAGAAAATAATGGAAAGGACTAGTACAATACCACCGGAAGGACCCCTTGTTGAACCTACAAGAATAGCTACGACTATTGGAAATTCGGGGAGTGGACATTCTGGTATCGAAACAATCCCGATGGGCACTGGACAATTGGTAGCTACACACGGTACCAACTATCCTAACTTTCATGCGGATCTGACGGCTGCGATTCGGGCTATTACCGCGTTCACCACCTAAGATGGGGTCTGATTACATGGAATGATGATAGAGATGATATATTTGTTCGTAAATCTATAGCGAATTTAATTACGTTATTTTAGTCCTGCATAAGTACGTAATTTCGCTTAGGCTATCAGCTAGTAACAGTAGTAATATAGCTCCATTTACGCTACCAGCAACATGAGATGGAGGTTGGATACCAATTCTACTTTTCCAAGAGAGATAGTTCATACCTTTACTTTTTGGAAACGGACGGTGGGTTTATTCGTGGGGAGCCGAGGTTACTGGGGAAGCCGCTCTGTCTTACGTTGCCTCTATGAAGGTATCTCTAACCAATCTACCGGGTGATAGGGATCAATACGTAGACGAAGATTGGTAGAGTAATATTGGATATGAATACTGTTCAAGCGTCTAAGTTACCTACCTTAGGTAGGTGCCTATATATAGATATTACTAGACCATACAATATTATATTAACCACTAACCACGATATATCATCTGGCTGTTAATATTTATATTCGTTATTGCGTCAATCCAGTAGTTTAGTTCTCTGAGTCATTCAAAGGAAAGGTAATCACAGCCTTGTGGATCCCATAGCAACAGTGACTCAGGCATTCATACAATCAGCGTTTCCAACAAATCAAACGGTTTTTTGATTTATTCGCCGTTTTTACCGCACAAACAAAGACAAAAATCAAATTTTGATGTTTTGGCCAATCAAAAGTATGAATTTTCAACTTTTGAGTGGATCCTAAAAAATATGAGGCTATTCAGACCCTTGTTAGGCCTACTTTTAGTATAAATAGGGGCTTTAAGGGCTTCAAGGGTTTCAGGGGCTAATTTCAGCCCTATTATGCTGGATGACTAAGTCAAACAAAAGTATAAATGTCGTCAAATAAACAAGTTTTCTTATTTTTTGATTTGAGTTTGATCAAGAAAAAAAGGGCGATTTATTTTATTTTATTTGTTTTGTTGGAAACGCTGCATACAATGAGTCAGTCACTACCCTCGTATACGCATATAAAAACAATAGCCAGATCCTAATCCTTATTATCCTAATCATAACTAATACAACAACGATGTCACCAATGTAGGGAATCACAGCTTTATCACACCTAGGTAAGTACCTACATACATCTAAACACCTACATATGTGGGTCTGTAACCATAGTGACTCAGGGACTCATACAATGAGGCAGATGCTGCCTGCATCTACGCATATATAAACAATAGCTAGATCCTAATCCTTATAATCCTAATCCAGTCAATACAACAACGATGTCACCAATCTAGGGAACGACACAGAATCAAATCATCAAACCGCCCAAGGTACACGCAGCCGGGGAGTCCAAGTACTAGACCAAAATATATTCCAACCCGATCCAGTCCAAAACATCCTACCCCATAATCAATATCATCCAACCTCTGCAGACTAGTAGAGTATCAACCTCCCTGCGTCCTCGCCATGCCAATCAAAATTCAAGACGAGTACCTATCATCTAAGGATATGCTCTCCAAGTCCGGCGAAGAGTAAGTTTAAATTCCTAACCGGCAATGCCCCGGTCTTGCTTGACTACGATTCTAACTCGGATGCGACAGCCTGTTAAAGTCTGGGATGTTTTCAGATGTGATAGTTAAGTGCGGAGACCGCGTCTGGAAACTGCATAAAATTATTATCTGCCCAAGATGCCCTTACTTTAACATGGCGTTCAATGGCCATTTCAAGGTAAGTTGTTAGCCCTTGACCAAACCAGACCGCTTTCCGCCATCACACTACACCACGGGGCAACCAAGATAAACCCCACGCTGTAATGTTAAATAAGCTAATATCTGGCTACCAGGAAGCTACCACGGGGGAAATCACCCTTCAGGACCAGGTCCCCGACGATATAGATCAGATTATTCGTTATCTATACACTGGAGAAGGTATAAACCTATCAAAGCAGTATCTTTTATTTAAACTAACATACAACGACAAAATAGTTTCGCAGCTAGTCAGATCCCGTCCTTCCGACTATTTTAAACTAGCAGATTTCTTTCAAATCCGCAGTTTAGTGAGAGAGATCATATCAATAATTGATCTTAAGCTGGATGGTATGGCAACACGTTTAGAGGAGTCAATTCGACCGGGCACGGATCTAGAAGCGGTGTTCACTTGTGAGGAAATAAAGTATTTATTCCGAGCGATCGAGACTTCATATGCCACAGATTCGTCCTCATATGCACCGCTTCGGGATTTGGTGAAAGACTTCATAGTCAAGAGCGCATATAGAATCACCCAGTACGACCGATTTTTAAAGACCTTGGAAAGCATTCCAATGCTGGCTGTGGACATCTGGAAGCTTCTCCAGGATAAATCAACATCAATCGTTAGCAATCGTTCGGGATGCTGGAAGTGTGGGCACAAAACAAATGAGCTGGTGGGAAATCGTCATGGTCCTGTACTCATATGCAGACTTCAGGCTCTGTGCAAAGGCTGCAAAAATTCTTACTAAACTATCCGAAGCGAATCGTACGCTCTGAGGCAGCCGTTCTAGGTTGAACCGGATTCTTAGTCTGAAATACTCAATAATCCCGTTGACTTATAACAATAAAAAATCTCTCTATACGTTCTTCTCGTTTTGCGCCATAGAGTGGAGGGGATATAGTTTACGGATGGCTCTAATAGGAACAGGAACTTCGTATGCCTCTAATACCTATAATGGTGGCTAAGTGACTGTGTCCCATGCTAGTTTATAATATCACATGTTTAAATTATTTAAGACGGCACATCCCACGGACAGGAATTGAATAAACATAATAAGAGTAGCTTCACTTACGTTTCCTGGAAGAAAACTGCGGTTTAGTTTGTTAGTCTGCTAACGACTCTATTTATGAATTATAATAGAAATGGTTTGCTATGTATAACTCTACAACCGCAGATTTCAGAGGTTCACATCTACCCATCATCGTCATTCTTTATGATTGTGATGGAATCCCGTCGGAGCCTCCAGAAGCCAAGACTCAGGAGTCCTTGACTATTATACAACCACCGATAACTCATCAGGGGGTACAATGGTAACATAAACCCATTGCTCAAGTTCAACCTCATTTTGCTTTGAGCCCTCAGATTCTTTATCCGACCGATCTATGATGATGATATTAGCTTATAATCATAGGTTGTGGGTGTATGCGGGTTGCGCATTACCACTGGAGCAGTAGAGGACCCTCTTCAACTGCTTGTCGTTTCGTAGGCTGTCGAAGAACTTCTTGGAGGCTTTGGAGTTTCCGATTTGGCTAACCTGGAAAAGCACGGCTTATAAATGCACGTTAGCGACAGTTGCTGTTGGTATAGGTGAGAAATGTGTAGTGCTTACTCTCAGGCTCATAGCCAGCCTTGATCAACTTCTTCCCACACCCTATGATTGTGCTTCTTAACATATTTGAGGCCTCTGGCTCGGGGCACCCATCGGTAATTATTGACACTAGCAAGGGACGTTTCAGTTCCTTGTTCTCTAGCTTGTCGTACACCAGCGGCTTAAGAATTTTCGTGATTAGGTTCGTCCCAATGTCTGTATCCCCAGTTGGCTGCATGTTGGTCATAATGGTCTCAACTTCCGCCTCGTGGAGTCTACTTCCAGAGACGGAGCTATTGATGAAACGCAACTCTACGCCATCTTCGTCGGGTATAATATAAGTGGCAAATTTCGTAATTCGCTTGACTAAATGTTGCTGGACTTTGATACGGTTGCCTATGGACATGGATGTACTGTCGTCTAGAATTACGCATTAGCTCCAAGTCCTGCCTTGTCAACTTATAGATGGTGTGTTCGCCTACCGCAAAGGATCACTTGCTGGTATAGTGACACTTTTATAAGATCACGGATATCTTTGTCGGACTTGAGCGTCGGATCAGGGGGGCTCGCTTTCAACTTGGCGGCCTTCTCGACAAGCGTGTTGATAAAGGGATCGTCATTCTTGAAGAAACCATCCATGCGATTTTTTGAAATGAATCTAATAATGTCATTCTTATATTCCTCCGCTGTCTTGCTTTCTTGGACTTCCTGTAGGTGAGGATTAGCTAGAACACGAGGTGTGGTAACATTCAGAGTGCCAATACTAACATTAGAATGACTTAGGATCTTGATCTCGCTTGTCTCATAGCTCGATTCGACGATGTCCTTCAATACGCTTGATGTAACAATGTAGACCCAAACTATTAAATGAAGGATGAAGGCCACAATCCTCCAAACGATGTCCATTAGAATCGGGCGCCCCTGGGAGCTACTATTGAGGGCATCAATCATAGCGTCTTTCTTCTTTTTAAAAGCGATCATAGCTGCCGTTTCTCGATCGGAATTCTTCAAGGTTTTATCCGCACCGAGATCAATGAGTTGGCGGACGGTATTGACATCTTTCCACTCGGCGACAACTTTCATCAGAGGTGTATAGTTGGCATCTCCCGAAGACGGCTTGTTGATATCAGCGCCGTGGGCATGAAGCAAACGGATGATCTCGGCACGGTCCTTCTTTTTCATAGAGCCCATCGCGGCGAACCACACGGGGGTGCGGTCACCTTGGGAGAGCTTCGTTGCCGATGCATTATTCTGTAGGAGTAACTTAACAACATCGGTACGACCCTTCAAGACAGCCGTAGCAAGTAGAGTCAACCCCGTCTCCGGATCTATAGCATTAATATCGAACGAGGAAGTTTTATACTGGTCCAGTTTGAACTGATCCAGCCTTCCATCACGCGCATCTTCGAAGATGTTCATCGTGAATGAAGGCGGACGTGAAGATGACGGAAAGATAGGAGGTGTTTAGGGGAACAAAACTGAACTACGTAGAATAGAATGCTTCTACCTCTTGGTTATCCCTCTCGATTAGAGGCATTGCTAAAGCTCGGCCTTTATTACCCAAACTATTGTTATCCTTCTCAAATGATTTGTCGCGCGATAATAAGATCAGCGAAATTACTTTCGCGATATCTGTCTGTGGAGACGGCCTTAAACGAGCTGCACGTAGGCAAGATGTCGCATTTGGTATCTGGCACCTATTGTATTATTATGACGTGGAAACATGCGCGCCATAGAGCCTGTCGATGAACATAAAACTCGAAGCCTATTATCTGGGCAATAGCCAATGAATATATTGTAGCCCTGAACTCGAGTATTAGGTTGACAACGAAACTTAGGACGGAACTATTGATGCAAGCTCATTAAGATAAACCGGTATATACATGTTAATCATCGCCATTGTTGTTATCCTTAATATCATGTGTGTATGGATGAGTGTGATGGTTGGTTAGTCTGGTATTCCCAACGATATTTGTTAGGCATAGAATTGGAGGTAAATGTGATTTGGCAGCTATCCTTGCGACTTTCATAGAATGTAACCAAGTAGAATTCATGCATAACAGCCACCGGGAATTTTATATGTTGTAGATATTATGAATCAGCTTTGTCTTTTGGGGTTGTTTGAAATGGCGGCAGAAAATATATGAAGAAGCGAAGACTGGTAAAAGGGGGATGTATAGGTTTATATGATACTTTGACAAGTTCTGTTTGATAGGAATCTGAAGGAGAACGACGCTAAGATATTAGCACCTGGGCCACTATGTGACTTGCCTATGTACGTCGTAGGAGGGTAAAGGTATTAACGTAAAGAGATTTATAATAGGCAACAGGTATATAATAACTTTAGAGGATCTATCATATATGGTAATCGTAATTCTCGAATATTTGACAGTAATAACAGAATCTTCATTCTCTCGGGGCCTCTAACCTAAACCAATAAGACATCACGATTCTAGTTCATACCCAAGCCTGAAGGAAAGCCAACCAACTCCCGCGACCAAGTTATCTATAACAGTTCTATAACAGTCGTAGTCATACCATAATAAACGAGATGCGCTTAAATGATGCAGAAATCGCATGGTAGCGGGCAGGGAATACAGAAGCAGAAGCGGCCCGGGCAGCACGAACTACGATCTCCGCCGCGCAAATTTCCATATTCGGGTTGTTCAGGTTGAGGTCGCTGAGGATCTGTTTTAAGTGTTAATAATATGTTCGTCTCATAAGTATTTTATTCTTCGCCAATGCTATATCCGGGTAGAAATGGTATATATAAATTCGAACATACCCATTGCTTGAAGAGCGACGGGTTGCGTAGTCTGGACAGGCTGATGAGCCGTCGGCCCACTGGATTGCGCGGCCTGGTCATTTGGTGTTTGGGGACTGGGTTGCGATGGCGACATATTCGAGGTGCAATTGCGTTACTACCGGTTGGTTTATAGACGTTAGTAGTTAATTATAATTGAGAAGTAGCTTGGTTTTTTAAATATGAGATGAATTTAAAGCTTAAGTCTTATGTCAGTGAGTTGAGCGGTGAGTTCGTATTGTATGCATGAGTGCACGTAAGATTAAATGTACCTACGTACGAATAGGAAGTATCTATATGACGTCACTTAATTGTTCGCTAACAACTAAGCCACCTTGAACCAAGCCAACCTCTAGCTTATTCCTCCAGTTTTGGCGTTGCACAGCCAACTTTTTCAAGCTTCGTTTTCGCGTATCCTTGATTCCTTCTTAATTTATCCACGTGGCTCCGTTTCGGAAAACGCGAAACCATCCGATGTAATTAATACATTTCGTCGATATGAGGGGAGTCTAGGTAGCCCCACGCTATCAGTGCTATTGTACAGCCTGTCACCTCTCTCTATCGCAAATATTATCCTTGAACACGTACATACGATATATCTAAACAGCCCGAGTCTTACTACGCCAAATACTTACTCACTGCGTCTCGCACGTCCCATAAGTCCCTGCGAGTGAAAATGTTCAAGACTTTCCTCACCCTGACCAATATAAACAGAGAAATATAAAGGCCAATAGTCTTCAACCATGACATCGGCATTTTCGGGTCTTTCCATCGTAGAGCATCCGCTTTGATGCCGTTAACTCTCGAGGCGCGGACCTCGAACAGTCCGAGAATCGAGTGAGATATGGCATCGTTTAGATCATGCCCCTTCTCGAGGTAACCAGCTAAAAGGAGCGCCAGCGCCTCACCGTCCTCAAAAGCCTGGCTTGCGCCTTGGCCACTTCTCGGCGGCAAAGCGTGAGCTGCATCGCCGACGAGGACGCACCCGTCACGACCCCAGTAGGGTAGATCTGGCATGACAAAGATGGGGTAGACATTATCGAGACATGCTTTTTCTAAGCACTGGCCGATAAGGGGGTCTGTCCAATTCCCGTGGCGCTCACGGAGCTGCTGGAGCATCAGGTCGTGGTCTAGCTTGAGGCCTCTACCTGGTAGGTCCGTCTCGTAAACGGACCAGTAGAGGAGCTTGGTTTTGTCCGACTGGGTAAGTCCGGAATAGCCAAATACCCCCGTTGAGCCCATGAAGAAGAGCATGCTGGGGTTATCAAGAAGGTGTTTTGGTAGTGGAACATCGAGTACACCTCCGACTGCACAGATACCACTGTACGCGATCAGACCAGGCAACAGGATAGACTAGATGTTCTAGACTTACACGTATTGAGGACGGTATTTCTCATCGTTGCCGAACAAGTCGTGACGAACGGTGCTACGGATCCCATCTGCACCGACGACAAGGTCCGCCGTCTCGTCCGGCGACCCGTCTTCGAATTGGACCACAGGTTTTCTTCCTTGGCGCGCGATCACCCTAGCTACTTTTTTCTGAATCACTAAACCGGAAGGTAGAGTTTCGTAGAGGCAGTTGATGAGGAGAGGACGTGAGATAGGCAAGACCTCGGCATATTCATGGCCCAACAGCCAATCACTAGCCGTCTTCCATGTGAAGCGCGTACACGGGAATCCAGCCGCATAAACTCTCCGCTTCAGCGCCGGGTCGAGCTCTTCCAGAACACGAAGTCCGTTGGCTTGGAGCCCCAACCCGGCGCCTGGCCGACTAGTACTGACCTGAGGCGTGGTTTGCTCTGTAGCTTGGCCGGTAGCCGGGTTAATAATGTCATAGATTTTGACTTCAAGGGGTTGACTGGCGGGGATAAATTTGCGGAGCGCGATGGCGGTGCTGAGGCCGCTCAGTCCCGCCCCGATGATGATGATTTTCATCGTTAATAGAGATCTAAATTGGGTTAGTATGACTGGTAGAAGTTATTGAAAGGTAAAAATATAACGACATTCACCAAATGTAGCGAGATTATTCAAGTAAAATTGGATGATTAACCTAACGAGGCATCTGTGACTCCTAGATCCAGACCCGGATCGACCCACTCCCGGATGAGTTGGGAAATCCAACTTTTAATTGGACACCGTTCTCAGCTACTAATTGAAATACTAACTGGGTATGGAACAGTAAAAATAAAGCTATGTATATACATATGTCCAGCCTCAATAATGGGACGAGCTCTTCGGATGCCATGGTAGGTGCTGCGATATCTTGGGGGTCCCCTCGTCTCCTTCAACCAACAGCGCCACTCTCTTTATATCCGGCACCCTCTGATTATACCAATGACTCTGTTCATACCAACCCATACGGAACGCAGTACAAAACCCCTCCCAGTGCTTAGTTTCGCATAACCTGCTTCCACAGGATGTCATCCTATTATACGATTTCTTTGTCCGTGTTATATGGCATTGCTTGTAGAAGCCAGAGAGCGTATCTACCCTCTTGTGGTTCTGGCTGTGCCAAGGTCCGTCTACGATTTGGTTCATCGTCCGAATCATCTCCTGATCATCATCTAGGTCAACCACGACTGGCATACGTGCAGATAACCGTTCGCAGATCAAGGTGCTCGCCTGGGCCGGAATACTCCAAGTCTCAAGCACGAAGCTGACCTGTTGCATGTTCCAACACGGACCGTAACTCGAAGCTATCTCTTCTATAATCTGGAAGCTGCCATGGTCGGGCGTTAAGATGAGCCGTTGTACATGCCCTAGGATATCCTCGAAGCTCATTCCGATCATGAAGTTGCCGTTAATCATGACGCTGTCGCGATCTGGGTCCATATACGTCTGTACAGGGGTATGAGGCCACTCGGAGCATCGTAGTGAGGGGTACAAGAGACTCCTCGATTCCTGGCAGGCATGTGACACCCTCATACGCCTCTTATCCATAGTAACTACCGACCGTGGCTCCGTGTCAGGCACAGGATACCGCCAGCGTATCTCGAATATCTCCATCAATTTTGGCCCGGCAGCTAGATGCCAGATTTTGTGACGAACATTAGGCGGGAGCTTCATCAACGGGAAGTTTTCTATCTTAGGTGGAGTGCTACTAGTGTTTTTCTCAAGACGCAGTGCACTCAGTTCGTCTCGTAGCCGTTCGTTCTCGAGCTTGAGTGAGGAAAGCTCGGTCTTGATCGATGCAAGTGCATCCTGTGTCTCCTGGAGTGTGGCAGTAAGATTGGCGACATTTTGGGTAAGACTACTAGTCACATCGACGAAGCGGCGAGTCTGTATAGAGAGCTGGTCTAGCTCGACTTTGAGGTTGTCATTGTCGGATGCTTCACGTGTGCTATGACTACGCCCGTCGTTCCGGAGCTCGCCAGCCCTGCTTGGTGGGATCTTCATCGCGAACTAGTCGTTGCCGATATGAGTATGATCATTCAATACCTAGTTCTTGGAATTGTAACTCTGCTCCGAATGTGGACACCTGCATTTATCGTACGAGTATATTACTATATATGTGACAAACTCGGGAAAGAATCGAGATTATTGTCTTCTCCAAGAGATGGGATGAATCAGGACAGTTTCAGGTGGGTACCTGATATCTACCTAATAGGAGATCCTGCAAATCTCATGCAATACACGGCTGTGTACGCATAAATACGCACCACACAGCCGATCCACGTATCTACCAAGGTGTACGACCCCTATTTCAATATTGAAATGGTTTGGTTGATTTAGGCTTGAGATTTTGAGATTTAATACGGCCAATTGCACTAACATGAACGAGAAGTACGGTAGTCTATATACAATATGATGCTGAGGTGGCAGCACGTTGACCAAGGCTGTGGTTTCGTGGCTGTCTCCCAGACCATACGATAGGTGAGCAAATGGGGTCTCAACCACATATCGAAGACAGGAAAATATCAATACTTAATACTTTAAAATATATATACATTCGTTCGTATGAGCTTTTACTTTAATTGTCAATAGGTACCTAGATATCCAATGGAGATGTTGGATTATTCGTGAAGAGTTCATGTTGTGGTATCTTATATATGATATACAGATATATCTTGTATATGAATCTCAATAATCGTAATAGGCGATATCATGCCCCTCCGCAATTCACCCCCGCCAATTCCAAATCTCAAAACTCCGCCGACCATTTTCCCATTTCACTTCGAGCTTCCACTTCCCTAATTCATGATCGTAAAATTTAGAAATATGAGAAATCTTGCTAATGCACATTTTTCACCGAATATTATTTACTCATATATCCTACAGAACATTAACAATACGTATATATCTATTCTGATATACTCCATTATTCGTATTCATAATGACATCAAGATTGTGGAACTTCAGCTGCCAAGATGTAAAATGAACCTACAGATGATTGGGAATCCTCGCACCAAGCTCCGTCCAAGAAACTAAGAATACCTTATGTGTGACTACTGCGGGTAACTCGGTCGGAAACCTTACTATAGATGCTAACGTCGATAGTTGTTTCCAGAACGTTGGCCTTCTTGCGTACTTCTAGGTGAAATGAACCATATGAACCACCTAAGCCAATTCTTTCCATCACCATTATCATTTTCTTGATATCACACACTTAACATCTCCTATACAAACCCATTGGGATCATCCTTAACCGAACTAGACACCTTATTACCGCAACATGCAGCTCGCCGTCTTCTCCGCTAAACCCTACGACAAGGAGTACCTTACGAGCACCCGAGCAGCGGAACTCGATAAAGTCGCTAACATCGAAGTCGTCTACCACGAATTCGCCTTGTCTCTCGAAACAGTTTCTCTAGCGAAAGGTGCAATCGCAGTATGCGTCTTCGTGAACGATAATCTCAGCGCCGATGTCCTTGAGTCGCTACATGCGAACGGTGTCCGCGCCATCTTATTGCGTTGCGCCGGATATAACAACGTTGACCTACAAGCTGCCGAGCGTCTGGGTCTCTTCGTCGCCAACGTACGCTCATATTCCCCCGAGTCCGTCGCTGAATTCGCCGTCGCCCAAATCCAGACGCTAAATCGAAATACCCATCGCGCCTACAATCGTGTCCGCGAAGGAAACTTCAGCCTGCAGGGACTACTAGGGCGCACTCTGAACGGAAAGACAGTAGGTATTATTGGCACGGGTCGCATTGGTGTGGCATTCTCCCGAATCATGAACGGCTTCGGATGCCGACTGCTAGCCTACGACGTCTTCGAGAATGACGACTTCAAAAAGTACGGCACGTACACGGACCTCGATACCTTGCTCTCCGAAAGCGACTTCATTAGCCTTCACTGCCCATTGATGGAGAACACGCGGTATCTTATAAACGACGACACGCTGGGCAAGATGAAGAAAGGAGCTATGCTAGTAAACACTTCGAGAGGCGGGCTTATCGACACCAAAGCTGTCATTGCGGCCTTGAAGAGAAAGCACCTAGGTGCCCTGGCGCTAGACGTGTACGAGGGCGAAGGGGCGCTTTTCTACAACGATCATTCGAGCCATATTATCGACGACGACGAGCTCATGCGTCTGACCACCTTCCCTAATGTGCTTATTTGTGGCCACCAAGCTTTCTTTACGGAGGAAGCGCTGCGTGAAATTGCCGACGGTACTATCCGTAACTTGAGCGATTTCTTGAACGGCAGGCCGTGCGAGAATAGTCTCGTCCAAACCCAAGCTGTATCGGAGCATGTTGATAGAGGCCCCGGACAGATTCGGATCTAGAAATATAAGGGTTCATGCTGTAGGTAGGTTATAGTGGGTACTTCAAGTAGGTAGAGGTACGAGAGAGATCTAAATACAAGCATGGTAGCATTGAATAAAACTCATGGAAGTCGGTGTCGTATCAGAACCGCTGACAGCATTAGATAAATAGCTATGAATGAATCTATAATAGACGCAGTCACGAGCCATCAGTATCGAAAGCCTTGGACTCGATGCTAATTATCCTATACTCTATACTCTAACATCGTTGGTTAATCATGGATCTGAATTCGCTTGCTAAGGTTTATATACTTATACTATATGTATCCAGGGCCGGCATCCTATCTCTTGTAAACCCCACTAATTGTATAATCCTTCTTAGGGCCTTTTACCGTGTACCCCAGCTTCCACTCCTTCAAGTTCACGGCCTTGAAGTTGAATTCGTAGTGCACGTCGTACAAGTCGTCGATGCACAGATGACTTGCCTTCGCCAACCAACCCTTCTTACCCTTCTCCTTTTCTTCTGCTGCAGCACCCGTTGTCATAGGCGTTGTCTCGCCCTGGACTTTCATCTCTGCTTCATCAACCGGAAGCAGGAACTCCACCTCGTGGAACAAGTAATCCGCGCGATCTTGGTCGTCCGTCCGCGCAAACCACACGCTCAGCACATCACGCGCCTCATCATATCGCCATACGTACCGCCTCGTCGCACGAAATGATAGCTGCGGGTTATCTCGCGCCGTGAACGTGCCATCCTCGATGTATAGGTACTCGAGTCCGAGACCCGTGCCCGAATCCGAATTTGCTTTGGATACGAGAGACGGGGATAGCCCATCCTCGGTTCCGTCTCGTAGTAGGAAACGTGCTGTGCCGGAGAACCGCCCGCTTGGATGCGATGGTAGCCGTGAAGAAAGCGTCCGCTCGAGCCGCCACTCACCCAACAGGGAGCGGAATACAGCGCCGGCAACAAATCGACCGCGTGAAAGCCCGGCTAGCGCTGTCTCGTGCGTCGCTAGTAGATTCGCTTTTGTCTGCTCAGCAGCCCGGGGGTTCCGAGCGGTGGCTGCAGAGAGAGAGGGGTATCGTGCCGGCGTCAATATATCCATGGGCTTACCCGTGGCGAGGGGTGGCGTATCACCTATAGGAGGGGTAATGGGGACGTCGAGAGCGCGTGAGAATTCTTGCATTAGGAAGGAGTAGTCGCCCATCGGGAACTGTGAGACACGCGGGTCGGTGCGTAAAGCCAGCGTCCGCGCGATAGTGTCGTCGTCCACGAGAGCCTGGCGAAGGGCTGAAGTTTGGGATTGCGGGTCATTTGATGCCCATAACCGTGCGACAAATCGAGCCTGCATCTCCATGACACCCCAGTAGGGCGAACGGTACAGGCCTACAAAGCCCAGAGTGGGCAGCGATGGGTGATGCGTTCCGTGGAAGGCGAGCGCAACGGGTAGGTTAGGGTGCTCAGGGGAGTGTGAAACGGTCTCAAGGACAGATAATGGGAGAAAGGAGAGTGACGCAGAGGGGTCGAAACCTGTCGCTAGAACCACGGCGGCAACATCGGAGATTTGCTCGTTTGTTGGAGAGATGATGGCGACGTTCCCATTTACAGATGACAGTTTTCCTTTGCTAACTTTTATGAATTTTGACTGTACGAAGTTCATATAATACGAGCTCATAGCCACAAATGGTTGCTCATCAAGTAAATCGCCGCCGATCTTAGTTTCCAGCGAGAATTCAGATTGATTAGTGCCTAAGACGGCTTGATAGATCGAATTCGAGGCCTGGGCCGCTTCGACGCTTATATGCCCCTGACTATTTGTTAGGGGTTGTGGCCGGTTGGCCAGATTATATGAAGGTAAGTCGCATGGGAGAAACGGCGGTGCCGATGCGGCCGGCTGTTATTTGGTTACTATTCAAGATTCATCCATGACAGTTCAAGGTATAAGAACCTCTGCCTACCTTTGGGGATGTGAATAACGGGAAAACCCACGAGGGTCGGTTCGTGATGTGATGTATGGAGTAGCTCTCAGGTTCTTGGATGATCTTCTTTCCGGGTGAGTGGATAGCAGATGAGAGATGTGTCGCGATAGTTGCGGCAGTCTCAATTCCAGACATCTGTCCACCAACGACGAGTATCTTACCGCCATGACGACTTGACTTCGCTAAGAGGCTCTCAAGATCTCGGTACTCGCTACTATGGATAATAGGTACGTCCGCCTCTTTCGGCACATGATCCGGCCATATCGGCTTCCCGAAGAATCCCGTAGTGACGAGCAAGTAGTCGAATGTAGCTGTCTTAGAACCTCCGCTTGATTCTGTCTGTACATTCCACGAGCCATCACCTTGTAACTCGGCTTTCACAACTTTATGTCCGAGCCGTATATCAGCGCCGCTGTACTCATTGATATATCGTTCTAGATATTGGCCGACTTGCCATGCCCTAGGGAATTGCGGATCAGAGTCTTGCCACGCGAAGTCGCTAAATTGGACGGTATGTTTGCTCTGGTTGGTTACCATGAGCGGGTGTACAAGACCGCCAATATCATCCTTTCTTGTGGGCCACAGTCCACCGATTCGGGACTGTGCTTCAAAAATAGTAACCTTGAATGAACTTTCTGGCGTATCGTGCAGTAAGGTCTTCGCTGATACGAGACCAGAAGGGCCAGCGCCTATATCGCATGTGAGCAAACCGAGAACTAAAGTCCGAGAGGGATAATGGATGAATAAGCATTCGCTGTCTTACCGACAATACAAACAGTCTTGGCCATGATCCGGACCCGAACCAGGGTCCGGGGTGTGCAGTAGAATCGAGTGAGGATCGTTGGTAGTCCACTTTGAGGAAACAATCGGGATGGATAAATATAGGTAGTAGATCGGACTCTGCAAAATGTGAATCTGAATATATGCCTATTCTTATTTCATAGAATATTTCAATAGGTTACTTGTTTTCGCAACTTGCTTCAGTCAGCACTAAACTGATCGCCATGAGATGTGGTCTACGTTAATACCAAATTATCCACTCATATACGAATATTGCGTCACTTTCACCAGTCACTATCTTAGGTAAACTAAAGATAGAAATAACCTACGAAGTACAAGAGATTTCCGTGGAGGTGGATTTATGTGGCGCATCAATAAAACGCCGATTGCCGGCGCAAGTTTTATTAGGAGGTACCTAACGCAATCGATAGACAACTTACACGAGCAGTCACTCAAAGTTAGAACTTTCACCTTAAACAAATATCATACACATCCCATGTCATAAACCGCCTTCAAACTTTTCTCCATTGCATATTCTTTATCTACTTATAATTGTATAAAAGTTACGGATTCATCGTGGGAGCAAAGGTTTCGGGTTATATAGGTCTATTGCAGCTGTCCGCCACAGGTCTATTGCGTCTTCGACTACTACATGTCGAAAGCCGAGCATATAGTTCAACCCGAGACATCTCGCTAAACGTAGAAGTTATTTCCACCATCAAAGAGACTTAATCCCAGTCTTAGACAGGTTTGTATTAATCGAGTTTAAACGGTCAACTACCTCAGTGCGAAGCATTCTGAATAATAACGGGAGGCAACATGGGAAGAAGCAGACACCCGCCTACCCGTCTAGTTAGAATAAGATCCTCAGCTTCGAACCGTCCCGCGGGAGCTTCCGCATCTCGCAGGATCGACACGTGCTCGTCGGAACACGATCGTTCTTCTCTATGCGCGAAGGCGATGCATGCGAGCCCAGGCAAGTTGCCGTGCGCCATTCAGTAGATTTTCGATAAAGCTCGGCATGATCTGCTTCGCTATGTTAACTCCATAAACTTCCGAAAGTTTCTAGAGATTTACCAGCTGTGCTATATTCAGACTCACCGCATATCTTGATTACATCTGCCCTTATACTTCCGTACGGTAAATTACAACATTATCCCTTGCGATAGAGGTACTTGAATTAATCTAATTTTAGTAGTACTTGGTAGCTAAAACAGGCGAAAGAATCTCGGTGTCCCAGAACTGTGGTTCATCCCTTGAAATCTATGGATTAGGGCTCCCGGAGTTTAGCGATCGAAAGTCGCGAGCCTCGTATAACTATCAAGACTGCTAGTACTCTTTACTTTTGCGTGGGCACGTAGAAAGCAAACTGCATGAATTAGCTCAACGGAGAGGACCGGCGCTTCTCTTGCGGCCTTATAATCTCTCGGTCCCATATCTCATTACGAATTAGCCCTTACGAACCATTCGTAAGTAGGCGTGGCCGAATAAGTGGCCGAACGGGAACCTGCATAAGTCCTGGTCTGTCCTACAATATATATATGCCTGAGCTAAGAGGCATGGTATATCTAGTGACGTATCGGTGCTTAATATTTACATTGAAGAAGGGCTCGTACAAGGATACGTCAGCTGGAATTGTATAAATCGTTTGTGCGACAGGAGCCTTGCGATAGGAACCATACGTCTGGGACGGGTGTTGCGAACTTTCGGTGGACCAACTGTTGCATGCGACCTACCTACATAATGCAGGCTTATTATTGACATACATAATCCGTACAAGGCTGGGACCGAGTGCCAAGTATGCTTGAGATCAGTGGCAAAGGGAAAAATAGCGCACCAGACGAGCCAGCCTTGTGTCCAGAGATCAGAGTTTTTTTATCTTGTTGTATTCGGTGGTTCCTTTGAAGCCGCTGCTCTCAAATCGTGTATGATGATTTGAAAAATGGGATATATGCAATAATCGAGACTCTTACCCCAACTGCTCAACAAGCAGCTCGGCATAAGCTTTTGTCCGTCAGTCCCGCTGTGGGTCCCGCCGGATGGGGTCAGGTGGAGACGGGTCTAACCCCCGCCATTCCACTGGATCCTTCAACGCGGGGAAGTTCGCCCGCCTGCTCAAGCCGGTAAAGGACAACAAGGATACAAGGTCAAAATACGTCTGGGCGAAACTGGGCAGCTGGGCAAGAAAAATGCAAATGTGGGTTGCTAGATCCATATGTAGAAGACATGGAATACACTAAAGCCGGTGGATCCGAATGACGATGTAAATGGCCGAAAATGCAACTTCGGGTCTTTAATTCAGTAAGTTCACTATTCTCTTGCTTTTGATATTATCTCCTGTTTTGTTTGGCGGCGAACTATTTTAGTCTCAATTGTCATTCTGTTGTAACCACCGCACACTGAATTCAGTTGAAGCAATTGTCATCTGAAGATTGGTGGTATATGGAAGTAACGTCGAATCGGCTTACAGCTAGCT